ACAAAAGGGAAATGAGCAAAATTTATCCAGCAGGACTACTGAAGTCAGTTGAGATTATAAGTATACTTTTTGGTGGAGGCTAAAATATATATATATATAGATATATATATTTTTTTTAATATATTTATATTAAATATATAAACTTACTTTTTATATATTTTTGAATATATATACACACATATATATAAATTATATATTTTCACATTTATATATTATATAAATTTTTATTTATATATTTATATATAAATATAAATATAAATATCATATTTATATATAAATATAAATATCATATTTATATAATATTTAATTATATAATTTAATATCATTTGATTTAATTATATAATTATACATTTAATAAATATAATTATTATATTTATATAAATATTATATAGTATATAGAAAGTTATATATTAATAATTAATATATATATATAATATCTAGTATATATATACTCTTTTTAATTAAAAATTTATATATACTATATATGCTATACCATACCTATATACTATATATAGAATGCATATATATAAAATACAATATATATAGATCCTATATGTAAAATATAATATATATAGATTCTGCAGATCCATGATCACACTGCATATATTTATATATATATATTATGTAAACATAAATATATATATAAACATTTACATTTATATTATTATAAAGACATATCTTTATATATTATAAATCTGTATATAAATATAATATTTTATGTCTAAATGTATTATATTTATATTACATATGTATATATTTATAAATATAATTATAGGTATATAGTAGATATTATATATACATATTTTAGATTTATTATAAAAACATATTAATATAGATAAATACATATAGAATAAATACATATTACTATAAATTAATACATTTTAATAAATAAATAAATGTATACATAAAATTTAATAAATAAATAAATGTATACATAAAAAGAAATTAATTTTTCAGAGAGTGCAGCTGACATCTCCTGATTTTCAGGAGGCTGCCTGATTTTCAAAAGTGGTCAGACCTCATCCTACTTCTGCAAACAATTTTAAGAAGTTTTGTCACTTTTGCCCTGGCACTTACACAGGGTTGAATCCTTTGGACTGCAGCCAGGCTTTGACATCCTCAGGAGAGGAGTCGTAAGTGATGTTCACCACTGGGATGTTTGGCCGTGGCACGTGGAATTTCCTCTGGGCAGCGCTCCGGCCGATGGTGAGCCTGTGAACAAGTTCATCCTGCACCTCCTCCATCTGAGATTTCCTGCCTAGAGAAAGAGAGATATCTCACAAGAGTTATTCTCAAGGTTGTTTTATCAAAGTCAACTCATTTCTTGAATGTCGCTTTAAATAGTGAATTTTTTATCTTTAAAGTTTCATTCATTAGATCTGATTCTGATTGAATTATTACTCTGCTTTTTTTTCCCCAGGGAATATTTCAATATTCTCAATCCTCTCTTTGCAAAACAAAGCAAAAAGAAACAAACAAAAAAACCCCAGACAGAATTCAACTAAGACCCCAGAAAGGAGAGATGAGCTGGATGCCACAGAGAGGCACAGATCATTACAACAGCACTGCAGAATAAAATGGGAATTCAGGGTTATACAATAATATAACAATAATCCGTTGTCATAGCCTGCCTTTTTTTTTCCTAACAGAATTGAGGGTTTAAAAATGAAAACAAAAAAATGATGAGGAAGGTTGTAAGATTGCTCACACTGTGGGGAAGGCAGTACTTTCCACAAACAGTTTTTTAGTTGAAAGTCCAACTTTTTAGTGCAAATCAACGTAGGCAAAAAAAAATTTCACAGCTACTGACACATATCCAACTTACATCTCATGAGTTATTGCAGCAATCGTATTTTTGACAGGATTTTGAGAAATTTGAATTCACTCCAAGCCTGGAGTAGCTGCTTAGCTGAAACACTGTCACATTTTGCATTAAAAAAGGCATAAAAAAAAAAAAAAGGGAGTAGCTGCTCTCCAGAGACTAAATAATTGGGCAAGATTTGTTTATTTATTTATTCATTTTAAACAAAACTGTAAGAATTCATTATCCCCCAGAACCCATTTGCCTGAAACATTTAGTTCAGTTGCTGTTCATTAGCAGGCAGCAAACTGAAATGCTTTTAGTCATTTCAACAAGATCAATTATAATGACAGTGAGAATTGTTTAAAATTACTATAAAAATTTCTCTGGATAACTTCACAAAAATAGGTAGAATTCAATAAGGTGTAAATAGCCTTTAGAGCTCAGGGAAGATACTGATTTTTCACAGTTAAACTCTCTGTGCCATAACATTGGAACAACTATAAAAATCCTCTGACAAACAACTCAAATTATCTCAAAAATTCTCAGGATTTCCTTGCCAAGGTATTTTTAGTGATCTTTATTCAACATTCTCACTTTGATACACAAACAGTAACTACACCACCCTCTCAATGCACCCAGATGGCAAAACCTATTCCTTTTCTCCCATTACACTGATAGGAGCAGATGAAAACAACACAACTTCAATTTGAAATAAAAAACCCCTGCAAGACAGAAACATTTTTGCTTTCTCTACTTTCCTTTTATATTCTCTCAAAACCTCTCCAGGGATCAATATCTCTAGCCAGTTAAACAAATAAAAACAAGCTTTACATAGGCCTCTGGGATTATTTCTTTAATCACCACAGCAAAAAGAAGGAAAACCCTTGGTTTAGCAATTTCCTTTTTTCTTTTACTAAACAGCCTCAGGTGGAAAGTGGAAAAGGCATCTCTACTATAATATTTGAGGCATTCAGGCCTTACTGTGTAGGGTTTTCTCCTCTTCCCCCACCCTGAATGAGAATCAGAAGCCCAATGTCACGAGCTCGGTGATTTGTGCAAATCTGACAGGGGTTATCCGAGGAAAGCCTTTAGGCAGTGTTATCAAAGCTTGAACCTGCTATTTTCCCAAGCAGGAAGAGGCACAGAACATTGCTATCTTCCTTCTATTTACACAGATTTTGAAAGATTTACCCTTAATCTAGACCAAGACTGTATCAAGAGACAAATATTTAGCTGTAAGATAAGAGATTCTTCCCGTTCTTAGATGTGTTATCAGAAACGAGCAGGATGCCCTGGGCATGGGGCAGGTTCTGCAGTGTTCTCTGCAGAGTTCAGGTGGCTGCCTGGCCAGCAGGTTTCCCTTCACCTTCACTTTCCCATCACCTTTGCAGAGGCACCTGTTCTGTGAGGGTTTTGAGGTGCCTGAGGCTCATTAGCTGGGTGGGAGTGAGAGCTCCAGGAGGGAACAGGATCTCCTGTGTGTGACCCACGGCCTCCACAGTGACCCTTCACACCTCACACAAGCCCTGTACCTGAAGCCAGGATGCTTTTCTCATTTTCCATCTAGAATGGATAGAGAAGGCCATTGTGCATTCAAGGACAAAGCCAAGCTATAGAAAAGTCCTTCCACAGAAATAAAATTATCATTTTTGTACATGTGTGCGTGAGGTAAACTCACCCTGACTTTCCACATCTTTGCAACTGTTTTTTTGTCTACTTCTATTAAGTAACAAACTCTTTTTTGGGAAGCAGCAGTGAAGCCTGTTCCTCCAAGCAGGCTGTTCTCCAGTTATCTTTTCCAGCCAGACATTAAGTGAAAATATAGAAAAAAGTTCCCAGAGCCTTCCTGAGTTCAGAGCTGTGGCAGGAGCTTGTCCTCCACCAGGCAATGCCACCAGACTCTACCAACAGGATTATCCACACAGCCACACTTCCCATCCACTGGGGACAGGGGGAAAGAAGCCCTTCTCCAGAAAGGATTCTGCTCAGTGCCAGTTTCTGACCTTAGGTGGAGACAGGATTTGCTGGTAAGGCAGTGAGGCAGAGGATAATAAAAGCTGTCAACCCTTGGACTGCAAAAAGCTCATTATTTTTACAGCTATTACTTTAAAAGCTTCAAATGCTGCCTACATGTTTCAGTTATTTCTAAGCCAAGCAATCACATTGCCTAAAGTGCATTTAGGACAGAAATTACTGACTAAATAAGCTTTTCTAACCCTACCTGCTTTCAAGTCAATACAGAGTAGCAGCCTCAGCATGCTTCAACTGGCATATTCACAAGGTGGCTGTAATCAGAACTTCTCAAGAGAGCCACACACTGTTAGATGCACATGAGCAAGTTTTTCCAGCTGTAGAGGGATGGAATAGGTTCCTGTGTCCTCCTGGGACAAGGACACCAAAGCCTGCTCCATGGCCTGCCAGCTGCTGCTGCTTGGATCCAGCCAGAGAGCCCTGACCGTAAAATAACCCTACAAAACTATTTCAGTATGGTTCCTGTGCATCAGCCAGACCTGCAAGTGTACTTGAAGCCCTGAATATGTGTTTCAGAACGGTGCAAATGGCCTAGAAATATGGGTGATCGTGAACTGAAGTGTGAAAACAACATAACTGATTTTCAAAGCGATTTAGGTTGTAATGTGGCAGTGAGTTCAGGTGGAAAATGTGCATTAGCCAGCATATCAGCGTGGGCATTTCCATGTTAAAAACCACTGCCTAGAGATCCCAGACATGGGAAATTTAGGTTAGGTGTTAGAAAAAAGTTTGTTACTGAAAGAGTGAAATAAAGTGCTGGAATTGTCTACGCAGGGAGGTGGTGGAGTCACCATCCCTGGATGTGGTTAAAAAACACCTGGATGTGGCACTCGGTGCCGTGGTTAACTGAGGTGGTGTTAGGGCATGGGCTGCTCTCAATCATCTTAAAGGTCTCTCCCAAACCACTGTGTTGCTGTGGGATCTCAGTCTCCTCAGGGCTGGGACACCCCCTCAAAGAGGAGTTTCCTTTATCTCAGTTCTGTTTCAGAAAGGAATCTCCAAAAGCCTCATTAGCTTATTGTGTTTATTAATCTATATAATCACAAGAGTTGGCAGGTCTTCCCCAGACTTTCTGCACAAGTTAACCCACCACAGCTTTGGCTCAAGTTGGCTCATATGGCACAAAATGGCCCTGAAATACACAGTTCTTTTATCTTTATACTTATTTTCACACAATTAACAATAGACATGTATATTATTGTTCTTAGTGACCCAATGACCCAATACCTGTGAGCTGCACTGGGGCACTTTTTATCCAATCACTCATTACTACCCAAAAACCTCTGGAAGAAGAAGAAGATGAAGAAGAAGAAGAAGGAAAAGAGACAACACCCTAAATCCTCCATCTTGTCTTCTGCTCTCTAAACTAGTTTAAACTCTAAACTTTTTCACCCAGTGACTTAAGAAAACTCTAATCTACACACACTTTTAGCTTTTCTATTTAATTTTAACAGCTATTTTCATGGTGTTTTCTTGGATGTCAGAGCTTGGTATGAGAGATAAGAGCACACTCTGTGCCTCAGACTCTAACACAGTGATTCTGTGATTTAGGATGGACAAGTGTAAATCATTTTTCCCTAATTACCATTATGGTAATTATAGCGAGGGTCAGAACACACATCCATAGCAAAACCATGTTTTAAACATAACCTTAAAACTAAACTTTACCATCTGAAGCGCAGCCCTAAGGGACTTCAGAATTAAACCAAACACACAGGAACTGAGAGGGGGGGAAAATCTTTTTATCTCATTTCTTAGGGCAAACTTACGATCCACAGGAATCTGCTTCTGCCGTTGGGTGTCGCGGGCCACGCTGCCACCGCTGTCGCTGGAGGTGCTGCTCTGGCGGCTGACGGCGGCCGGCGCCTTGGGCACGGGGACTGGGATGGGAGCTGGGGCGTTGGGAGGCATGGGGACAGCCATGGGGACAGCCACAGGGACAGCCACGGGCACAGGGGCGGGTGTGGGGGGCGGCGAGGGCGTAGCGGGAACCGGCTCGGGTTGTTTCGCCACGTAGTCCGTCCTTTGTTTCTGGAGGATGCAGAGAGGCTCGGTCAGGCAACTAAATTTGGGCAAGGAGTCAGACAAACCCAGACTTTGCACCAAATGGAGTCATTTATTCCACAGGGGCGCCTCACTTGCCAGATAGAGTTCCAAAATTTGCCAAATTTGCCAGTAGTTGATCTGGGATCAACATTTGGCAGCAAGCACCCTCTCTGCTGGACACAAGACTCACAGCAAGAACTCCTCTGCAACACACTTCTTTCTTTCAAGCAGATGAATTCTGTAAATGAGATTGTTTTTAAATCCCAAATTTCTATTAACTGGCACTTTTTAACAGCTTTCAAAACCTTTGACTTGTTGAACTCCATTGGTGTAAAAATGCATATTTTTGAGATGGTATTAAAAAAAAAATTACTGAAAAATGAACATGTCCAGCCACACATAAACTCACCTTATGTTTTAACTTATAAATATCACTGGGGATAGGATGACACATTGTTTCTTGAACTGCAGACAGCATTTAAGAGATTCCTGCTCCTCCTGTCCTTTCATCCATGCCTTTTCAGCTATTGACGTGATCACTACAAGCCATCTCAAGGCAATAATCTGATTAAAAAACAAGCCCCAGGTTTCACAGTTCTTGGAATGGGGCTGTTATTTCCTTCTCCCCGGCTTCATGCAATGTTCTAACAACATGTAAGTTATTTTGCTGCTAATAACTAACTAGCAGGTGTCCAACAATGACCTTGGGAGGTAATTTCTTCTTTGCCTTTAGAATGACACCGATTACAGGAAGAACACTGTATTTTCCCAGAGCAATCATAAAGACATAAATCCATAAGCCACCTATGCTTCCCCTTTCCTTCCTGCGGTTCAGACTCCATATCTCACTATTTAACAGTGTTCCCTCTCCACAATTTTGGACTAACACGGCTTGAAGGTTCAATATTAAAGTCTGTTTGCTCAACAGGGATGCCTCATCTCGTAGTTATGAGAAGTCTGCTTACTTTGGTATGAAGAGAGATGAATGCATTCCCCAGATTCATTGCCCCTTCCTGAAATACCTTTCCCTATTTCCTCGGAGGGTTTTACAGAGGATCAAGTAGGGAAATATTTGTAGGAGCCATATGCTAGAATTTGAGCAGCAGATCACTGCCCTGACAACAATCAAACTGTCCTTAAATGTCAGCAAGTGCCTTTGTACAGGAATCCCCAGCTCAGTGAAGTCCAGCTGAAGGACAAGGCATTTAGCAGTGAATGTAAACCATTGCAGCAATACTGGTTTAAACCAGGAGAAAATTTATCCCTTCAGCTTCTCTGGCCAATCAATTAAGCCTAAGAAATGAGTCTTACTTCCCTTGGATGATTTTTCACTGAAACCATAATAGTCAGTTACTAAATCAAACATATATCCCTGCAAAACATTTCCCATTAAGCATTTTTGTTTGTTCATTTGTTTTTATCTCAACATTTAGTTGTTTGAAGGCATCCATCTTAACTGCTTTGTGAAAAGTGGGAGATTAAAAAATAATCATGATTGACTTTTCTGTATTTTACTGCTTCAATGTTAGCTAAATAAATGCTTTTTTAATTGTCCAATGACAAGGAAAGTGAAATGCATAATATAAAAGTTAAGAAGCAGAATAAATATATTTTTGAAACTTGCTCTTTGGTGGAAAGAGAATGCCCCACCAGGTGTATAGCAAATATACCATAATTTATTATATATAGATGTACTATGATTGACCCAAAATCTTGTCAATGATTTTAAAAATTCCACAGCTTGGAATTACTTAGAATTCTAAAATGTTCCAATGATAGTCACATCTTTTAATCTTGTTCTCAGATTCCAATTACTAGACTGTCACCCCCCTACAATGTACCTTGTTCATGTGTGCTCTGACCTTCTTAAAAAACACAAAGAAAAAGTAGAACTTTTTTATGACAGAGAGGATTTGTTACAAACCAAGGCGTCCACTGCACATTGCCACAATCATATTCCAGAAAAAGAGAAAGCAGAAAAACTAAGTGTAACTTTCAATGTTACTGGAGGAGCTGCAAAAACATGTTGTACTGCAATCATCAGCCTCATCAAAACAACTTGCTGCAGTGAAAACAGAAATTAATCTGGAAGCGTCACTCAAACTCTGAATTTACAAATGCAACCACATTAAAACACACTTTGCATTTTGCTGAACAGTGTCCAAAAGCCAATTATATATTTGAATCCCATTTAACATTTCCTTTTTTAACACTTCTTTTTTTAACTCCAGATCTTTTGAGGACATCCACACATTCATGCCATCACTTATATTCATTGCTATAAAAAGAAACAAGCATGCACTATGGAATTTGGTGACTACATAGCCCAAAAAGAGGAATTTTTGAGATTCAATATCAGAAGAGTAATTCAGTTACCTCTGAGAGCTCTCCCAGTAATTGCTGTGAGGAAAATGGAGTAAATCACATCAAATAGTATTGTTAGATAGGTAAAAAGTAACTGTCTCACACATCACTCCTGAAATTTCACACACATTAGCAATTTAAACTAAAGGAACATCAGTCTTAGTAATTACCTCTTCTTACTGGGAAACTAATAGTGAGTTATTCTTATTAAAATTAAAATTCTTATTTTGAATAGGGAACAGAGTGCTGGCAGCAAAATATACACATGTGATGCCATATAAGCAGCCAGCTCTTTTCAGAGCACCTACCCAGACAGAAACCTAGAAACTTTTCTATTGATAGAAAACAAAAGCCAAGGAAAAGGCTGCCAATGGATTGAAGATCATCAGGTGAATGTAAACAACACTTGCAACTGTAGAAGAAGAAGAGTTAAGTGACAGCAGGCATTAAAAAAGTGCTTAATTTTTCTAGCTGAAGAAATGTTAGCCAGCTGAGCAAATGAGATAAAGGTTGCTGCTCTCAGACATGGACTCACAGAAGGGTTTGGGTTGGGAGGGATTTGGTGGCTCCATCTCACTCCAGCCTTCCACCATCCCAGATTGCTCCAACACCCATCCAACTGTCCTTGAGCACTTCCAGGTGCCCAAATGAGCATCCAAAGCTTCTCTGGACAGCCTGTGCCAGGGCCTCACCACCCTCCCAGGGAAGAATTTCTTCCTAATATCCAATCTAAACCCATCCTCTTTGAGATTAAAGCCACTGCCCTCAGTTCTGTCACTCCATGCCCTTGTAAAAATCTCAATTCACGTGAATTGGAACAAATGCTTTAAATTTGTGGTGATAACACACACACACTCTCATTAAAAATCTGGATATATCATAGAAGCTTACTGGGACTAAGTTTTGTTTTTGTATTTCTTGCGAAAAAAATCATTGTTTTTACAGGAAAAAAAAAATTAAGTCCCAAAGCTGTTCTCAACACACTACAGGCTGCATCTGGTGAAAAAAACAAGATCCAGTATGATTCAATCTATTTTTAATGGAAGCAAAATAATAAGTTTGAGTAAAAATGCTAATGGTACCAGCCCTAATTCCTGAGCAGTGTAAAAGAGTGGGAACAATATATTTTCAAATATATTTTGGCATTAAAAAAGGGGAATACACATATCCAAACTATGGGAAAAACAGATGAAGAAGCACTGGAAACAACCAACTCCAGTGTTAGTGCTGGGGAATGTTCTCATTAAGTTAACACAGACACAGAGCTTTCAGTTTTCTCTCTCTCTGAAGGTTTCAGTGCCACATTCCTGTTTGCACAGGGCCACGAGTCCACCCAGAGGGCTGCAGAGAATTCAGCCTCGGTTTTGTCAACAGCACTGGGGCTTGGATCTTTCCCTGGGACTCCACTGAATGGACAAGGGAGAACCAACCACTCATCTTCAGCCAAAATCAGGTACCCAGGACTGGAAGAGAAAATTTCAAGCAGGGTCTTTTGCCAGAGTTTACTTTGGTGGGTTCAGCTATTATGGAAACAGCTGCCTACTAAAATCCCATTAAAAAACACCTGAGCAGTTCATTTGTGGTTTTACTGAATTTACAGGAAATTTAGACAGAGTTTACTTATTCAAATTGTTATTAACTAGGATTAGTTCCCTGTTTCTTAAAAAACAAAATAGAAGAAAAAAAAAGAAAACATGGACAAACTGCACCTTATTAAACATTTACTCTCTGCCTACGGATTTTGTACACATCACTGATGATACAACTGTATCACCTCAGAAAGGGTGTCAGGAGATTAATCAACATGCCTACCAATATATACAACTCTAACCTAATGACATTCTTCAAATTTCATTTTCAAGAGTGTTAAAACAAAGGTAATAAAATGCACAGAAAATAGGAAAAGCTATGATGAATAGTATTCATAGGTTCACAAATTAAGAAATCTTAAATTTCTTAATTACAAATTAAGAAATCAGAGTGCTTGGGAAACTCTTTATGTTCATATATAATAGATGGTGAAATAGCAGTGCTGGCTCACTATAAAAAAAAACCAAATTGATTAAATGACCAACACCCCAGAATCTCTGATAAACAATAGTAGAAAATAGAATTCAGCAAAATGATCTTCTAAAAGTACAGGAGAAAAATAATGTTACAGGAGCAAAAATACTGTTTCCTGGAACTAATTCAACTGACCAGAAGACAAACAGTGTTACAGGCTCTGACTCACAAAGATAATTAAATAATTGAGGTATTGCTGGCAGTGTCTTGCTAGTGTCACCTCAGTCCTTTCAAGTGACTATTTGGGACCTGGATCCTGAAAGGAACTGAGTTAGATCCTGAAAGGAACTGAGTTAAATCCTGAAAAATCAGGATTTAAAGTAATGTGTCACTAGGTCGCTCGTTAGAGGTCAATTGGCAGGGGGACAGAGAGAGCAAAAAACACCTTCAAGCTCTGAGAATAATTATGATACTGAGATATCCATCTCTCAGAGATGGGGTGTCTGTAGCACAATCAGGCATTCCTCCCTTCAAGGCCTCAATTCTTTCTGAAATAACAGCAATGTCTCATAGTGCTGTTGTGAAAATAAATGGATTTATGCAAACACTTCTCAACTGAACCCTGTGTCCATCACTGGGAAACAGACAAATGAGAATCTCAGGAGTGCTAAAATTATAATAACCACCACGAAGTTAAAACAGAGTTACTGACATGTCTTGGTAAAGACTTCATTTATCCTGTGCAATTCATTATATTCATAAATAATTTCACAGTATTTCAAGCTCCCATTTGAATATGATCAATCTGCAGAATAACCTGCAAGAGGGCAAAGTAACAAACTTATCTTAAACAGTATTCCCTGACCCTAATTTTCACAGGTCCATGGAGAATGCTTTGTGGAAATGATTATTTTATTTTATGCCATGTCCTGTCATTATTTCAAACAGAAAACTTCAAACCCTGCCGTGCATTACAGAGGAATAGTGTGAGAACCTCTACTCAAAACTCTGCTCAGGTGGCAAATTCCAAACACACAAAATAACATGCACAGGAAGGAAAGAAAACAAACCAAGCCAGATTTTTAAATCAAGATTGGAAAAGCACTCTAGGTTGCATGCTTCACCACACAGGCAAATCCACAATCAATGCGGAACGAGCCAAATGCAGAATGAGGCAAACACTTTGGGGCAGGAAAGCTCAGAAATAGTCTGATTCAAGCCCACCAAGATCAAAAAAGGTCTGCTACATTATTTTGCAAAGCACTGTGGCATTTTTGGGTTTTCAGTCATCAGCTGGCACGTGCACACACGATGAATGAATATTAGATTCGTTTAAATTATTTAACTTCAAGCTTCAACAGAAGCTTCAACTTTGACTTAAAACTCTGATTTAAAGGCAGGCCTGGAATTTCTGCTGAATCCAAACTTATTTGCCTAAACTTTCAAGATCATTAATAAAAGAAAACAGGAAAGAAAGAGGTCTTAAAAAATATAACTTCTTCTTTTAGTAGCTTCAAACCCCCTTAAATTTTGTCTAAAAATACACATTACGACTTTATCCTCTATATCCTTACTTGGGTGGATAATTGTGCTGATTTAAGAATATTTTAAAGTAATTTACCCTCTAATTCTGTTCAACATATAAAAGAAATAATGACAACAAAAATATTAGTTCCACACCAGCACATGAAAGAGAAAATTAAAATTAGGTCAGAATAATAGAGTGCTAGTGATGCACAGACATAGTAATTGAAAAATACTTGCTTTGTGAGTTCAGAAGCAAATATACCTCCTTTTTATCACTCAAAAATTACAACAATTAAATAAATTCAAGACTGGGGTAGAGACACACGAAGACAGAAAATAAAAGGAAAATTAGAGTTCACTCTTCTAGGTAAAACAAAGATGACCCTACCTTAAATAATTCAAACTCCTTCTTTGGCATCAACAGCTATCAATTCACAAAGGATATTTGCAATTAAAATAAAGGCATACACATCCATTAGGACTGAAGTTACCACCTCTAAGCAAATAAGCAGGTGAAAAAAAAAAAAAAACCAAAACAGAGGAAAAACATTTTGCTGTTTCTCTATCAACTGCATCCTCTCTGAAATACAAACATCACCTTCAGCCTCTACAAGAAATGTGAATTTAAATGCAAATGCAAATTTTTTGGAATGTATCAGTGGAACACACAGCTATTTCAGCCTTGCTGTGACTCTCTTCCTCCTCCACGTGCACACCCTGACACTTCCAAAGGAGCTTTTGCTCCCAGGATGGGCAGTACCTGGATGGTGCGGGTGTAGGCAGGCTCTGGCCATCCCTGACCGCCTTCTGCGATCCTCAGAGGGTCCAAAATGTTGTTTGGCACAAAGCCCGTGCTGCCACTTTTGTTCTGGACCTTCCACCACTGCTTTCTGTCATCCAGAATCTGAAATAAATTGGTAAATTAATTCCATATCTTTTCTGGCTTTCCTCCTGCTGTACTTAGGCTGTGAATCATTTCAAAACAGAACCAGAACTTTGCCAGGTTCTGTGCCTGCCAACGGATCTTGCACAGATATGTCCCTGAGAAAATCCTGCATCTTCCCTGATTCTCTGCATGGTTCTACTGCACTTTTCAAATTGGGGCTCTCAATAAAGGTCATCTAAGTGTGCAATGAAGTTCTGTAAAACTCAGGGGTGTTCTGGATCAGACAGTGGAACAAAAATCGAATATTTGCACAGAGATGCTGCCATCCCTACAATCCTCATGCCGTTGACAAAAGGAATAAATAATTGCTAATAACCCAAGAAAAGGCAGCTCTAGAGGAGCACAAATATGGAGACACAACACTTCTTATCAAACAGGGAATGGGAGCAGGATGGCCAGGAGCAGTCAGAAGTCTGAGTGCCTGCCCCACATTCTCTTACTCTGCATTTTCTCGTTTTGTTGCTCCCTGCCTTCCAAACGTATCTCACTTTCATGGTGCCACATCCTCTTGGAAAAGAACAGTCCTTCACTATACCCCATGTGTACACAGATAGTTATTTAAACACTACTTAATATTTAAAAGCAACACTAGAGAAGGTGGAAGGATCACACAAATGTATTTTGAGCACGGATCTGTACAGCACCCTTCCCAAGTCAGCAAAATTGAGGCAAAACAAACTAACTGAACTTTCCATACTAAATCAAACATTAAGGAAAGCCACACTGTCCACAGGAAAGGCACCCTCAGCTCTGAGTAGCAGCAGAAATTTTTGTGTTGTCTTTGCAGACAAGATTACCTCCACAATCTCTTCTTTCATGACAGAAAGCTCACTGTTGTTCCTTGCCACAAATTCGTACTTGCATTTGGCGTATTTCTTGCTCTGTGCTTTACCGTGTGCTTCGTAGTTTCTGCAAAGCAAAGATCAGACTGTTGCTCAGTGAGACTGTCAAGTGACTAAAACCACAAAATGCCCTCTTTGGAAAACCTGCAAAAACATTTTTTTAAAACAAAAACCTCTCAACCATAGTAAGGTGCTGTTGTAGCCCTACCTATTCATCATACACTGATTTAAGTGCCAAAAAAAAAAGTACAAATAAAACAAAATAAAGAGGTGGCTGAAATACACAGAGCTCAAGAACTGCTAATCTTTATCAGCTTGCTGCTTGCAAGATGTATGAGAACAACCTAGATTAGCAGGTGCTATTGTTTCAAAATAAACATGTACTCTATATTTAGTTTGTTTTCCTACAGAAGGTTAAACAGTCATTTTAAACAAATTATTATACTTAGGATATAATTGGCAGCTTGGACTTTGTATGAAATTGTGTTTCTAGTTTTCATCACAGATAGTTTCAAATACATAATAGATGACTAAATTTTTGCCATCAATGCTAATGGAGTTAAACTCTAAAAATTGTTCACCTATTGTAGATCAATTTTCTTAACTGACCATGAGATACTATCAACTTTAACAACTTCAAGTCACTTTTATCAATTAAGAATGAGAAATAACTTATTGCCAGCCACACACAGGACTCATTGTAGACCAAGGCATATCACAGTAAGCTCTGTTATCTTTCTGTTTCCATGAGGAAAGACCTGTCCAGAATGCCTTTGGTTATTCTAGTAATAGCTAAGGAGCTTCTACTTGCTTTGATTTTTTCAGTCAAAGTGAATTCAATTCACTTTTTCAATTGAGAAGTCCCCAGCCCACAAAACCCCACAATAACTTTATACACTCACTGCAAATTACACCCAACAACATCAACCCATATTGGACAGTAAAGAAAACAAACAAACAAAAAACAAACACATGAATAAATACATAAATAAATAAATAAACCCTAACAGGTAATTAAAACATGAAGCAATCTGTGGCTGGAAATGCTGGGTACAAGGACACAGCACAGGGATATGAACACAGGTGGTTGCTGCTGCTCTGTAACTCTGGGTTCCAGGTGTGCCTGGAGCAATCCAGCAGCCCCCTGGCTATTGCACGGCTGTGGAGAACTGTCTCACTTGACTTGAAGAGCAGAACCAAGGAAAAATCATATTTAGATTGAAAGATTATTTTGAAAGAAGGACAAAACACTAACAGTATTTAAGGAGAGAGTGAAAAGTAGGGGATGGCCCCCAGCCTGAAGAATAGCAGTTATGAGGCTGAACGATGTGTGAGTAATACCAATTCTTCCTGCTACACCCTTAAAATTAATATAATTTTGATTTTCTCACTGTCTCAGAGACATGACTAATGTAGCTCTGACAGTACTTTTACTTTTAGGCAGCCTTTCCAAAATAATTTCAATAACTCTGTCATCCTGTTTTGTCCACACCTAACTATCCTGATTCCTTCAAAAAATACAGCTCAGGAAGAATTTTATAAAATGTCTAGATTTTAGTTTTATCAACCCAGCAACATACCCAGTACATGGGCCAGACAATGGATGCATGCTTCTGAAGAGACCCTAATTATTCAAGCCCAACCTAATGAGCCAGTTTACTCTGGGCACAAATATTCTGATCACTTCCCTCCATCCATCCTCCTCTGTGTTTCTTACTGCCTATCAGATTTACCATAATTTCAGGCCTCAGCTCTCTTCTGTGCACTGCCTGAGAGCCTGGAGGGCTGCACAGACATTTAGAGAGCTTTTCTTCAAATGACAGTGAAAGCCAAACTACACAGCCAAAAAACTGCTACCTTGGAACAGCACAAAACTTGCTGAAAATTATTCAGTGGCATCAGAGCTCCTGATACACCTAATATCCACTGAAAGTCTAAGATTCTGACACTTCATTTGCATCACTCAAGGGAAGAATGCTTTACATCAGCGGTGAGAAACAGGCACCACTACAGCAGGTCTCATTCCACAGCTTTCCAAAGATTAATTTCACCTTTCATGAGCTGCTTCTTAGAAACATCCATTTCTCTTTACCCCCAGAGAGGAGGCTTGGATAGCTCCTTCAGTTCCACACAGTTCCCTGATACCATCAACAACTCTTTCTCTAAAACTGATGTGAAGGCAAAAACACTTTTGCATGGAATATTCTTCCTCTGAAAGGACAAAACAGGTCTTACCACATTACAGGAAAGGAATTTAGAGGGCAGATCATCTAGATTTCAAGATGACTGGTCCCAGGACAAGAGTGCAGCAGGCAATCAAGTTTGAGAAAACAATTAAGGGATGATTACTCTGCTGCTGTTGCTATGAAGAATAAATCCAAAGTTCAGGAAAATAATTGTGTCCTGAACATCACATGGGAATTGGCTTTTATGCAGATTAATAACAGGATCTTTTAGCACATGGCTCAAAACTAGGGGTTCTGGAAGGGTTTTCATCACAAGAGTTATATTGAGGATACTTTAACCACCAAGTTGATCCCAAAACTTAGCTTAAACATCTCCCATGGCTCCTAAGACAAAACACTTTTCATATAGTATATATGGGATATGGTTTGGTGCAGGAGAGCAGTTCCAGTGCCTCTGTACTGATCTGCTTCCACAGTTTGTGCTGGTGTAAATTCTCCCCAAAGACAAGGCCAAGGATCTCTGCATATCATCTTGTCAAGTCATTCAGTTTTAGGATAAAATGCAGAGGGTGAAAGAGGATGTGCAAAAAGACACTGTTTACTATGCAAACATTTCAGAGCATTTTCTGCAACAGCTGAAAGAGGATGGAGGAGACAAGGTGTCACTGCTCTGAACGTGGGTATTTATACACCAGCCCAGAAAACAAAAAGCAGGAGATGACAGAGCACTAAGTGAGCAGCCAAGAAAATCAAACAATCAATCAAAATGAGAACAGGTGAATCTCAGAGCAAACTTGTCATTCCTTATAATTCTGAAAAGAGCAGAGAGTGTATTTAAACATGAAACAAATCAGAATTAAAATCTGAAACGAAGTGGGTGGATTCTGTGTTTGCGATTGGGTTGGGACTCCGCTGTATCATTTTTGACAAAAGCAGCAATTTGACAGCATAGATAAATGGGATATTTCATAGAAATGATACAAAAAGACCCTTAATGACACACTTTAGACAAAGAAAAGCAGAATCACTTCCCCAGCAGAGACAATGCCACAACCAGAGACCGTCACAGACCCCGCCACCCCAAGAGCAAGAAGTGGGGACAGTTTTCCACAGCCCCACGGCCGATGCCAGGTCAGGGTTACCTATCTACATGTCGGCTAACAGTTTGCTTAAAGGCAGCCACAGCTGCCCCCTGGTCCAGCAGAGGCCCTCTCTTGTACACCGTGTTACTGAATGCATACCCATCCGCCGGGGGGTAGTCGGGAACGCCGGGAGGCTGCAAGACAAAAAGGGAACAAAGCCACCGGTGGGTTAATGTCATCCTCCCCACAATTCCTGCACTCCCCAGGGGCCCTGTCAGCATTCCCCCATCCTCAGGTGCTGCCATGAAAAGTTAATAATTTCTGCATTTCAAGTGCATAAAGGAGATCAAAAGGAGGAGAATAAAGGGATTTCTATCCCAGCGCATTAATATTGCAGCGGATGCTCTTGAGAAAAACACTTCTCTGGGGCAAGGGCCGTGTCATCTCTCAGATATCACTACAGCAACTTATAAACAATGGCTGAACTGCTTTAAAATAAACTGCACAACTTTCAAATAAACTGCTCTGAGCTTCTGCTCTGGATTTACACCTCAAGCCACAAAGCTCTGCGCAGCCAACAGTAGGTCTGGGCAAGGAATGAAGTGAAATGAACACCCTCATAATAGGACAAGGACAAGGATCATACATGTCACACCCTCACTGAATGTGGCTGTAGTCCATGTAGAAAAGCAAAAAGGAGGGTGATATTTGGTGCAATTATGGATTTTAATTAGGGAAAATAATCATACTTTGTCACAAGCACATATGTAAGAACATTCAAGAGTTTAGAATTTTGTTTTCTTTTTAACAAAAAAAAAAATCTTAAATTTAGCATTGACACTCCCCTTAGAGGCAAAAATTATCTTAATCAGCATTTCCAAAAACAAGACAAGGTTTAACATTCCATTTCTGCATATAATGATATTGAAATATCTAATTCTATATTCTTATATTTTTATATTTTTCCCCTGTACCATCCAGCTCCATAGGTTAGACAGGCTGAGATTCACCAGAATTTGCCAAATCTTGAAGCTTGGAGTGTTGTGTTCTTTTGAGTTTTTTCCTTTGATGTTTTTGCTTTCAGCTTATTTTTTTTTTTAATCTCTGTTTGTGTGGCCACAGAAAAGGTTCTCACCTAATCTCTGCCTCCAGGTGCCTGATGTGGCACCCACAGATACTCACTTTGGGGACTGAGGGTTCATGGAAAGCAGTTAAACCCCACAGAACTCCCCACACGAAGAGAATATTCTTTCAAACACTATTATCGAGACATTTTTGGGAAAAAAATCTCCTGTGTCACCTGGTTTGTGCCTTACATCAAAGGAAGCAGGAATTCAATACTTCACACACAAATTATTTGCATTGCTTTAGCCTCACTGGACACTCTCTGGTGGTTGTTCCACCACTATTTCAAATCCTCACTGCTCAACTGCCTCCACCTTGAACCCCTCTGCTAGGAGCTGCACGAGTGGCTGGATCTTAAGATTCAGGAATTCAGGAATAGAAAGAAAAAATGAGTTTTTTAGGGGTGGGAACCTCCAATACACTTTTCCTGATTCCAGAGCCCTGCCCAGCAGGGAGAACAGGGCCATGCATCCTCTCTCCTCTCCCTGCACAGACAGCCTTGGTTTTGGGGAGGGAATTCCAAACACTTCCAATCTCATCTGGCTTTTCCAGTGCTCCTCATTGAACAAACTGTTACAGCAGACTTAAGAATAATTATCCTGGTATCACCCACTCCAGGGAGGTGCTTTTGCTGCAGATAAAATACCATTTTGCACTCAGGCAGCTTTTTCCAGCTGAGCACCTGCAGCATTTCACAGCTATTAAGCAGCTCAGTGCCTTTTCCCCCAGGGATGTGCTAGGGAGGCATGGGCACAGGGAGCCAAAGTGCCAAGGTTAAATGTTTGCCCAGGACCTTGTGGGAATCAGAGACAGTCATGAAACCAATGCCTGACATCCCAGGATCCAGGTACACAAACTGCTTCAATGAACTGGGAGATTACTATTATTATTATATATATATATTTATTTAAATTTTTTATTTTATTTTTCTTTTTTGTGTATGTGTGTGTTTCTTTTGAAGGTTAAGACAAAGAAGTTAAGCTGGCATAAACAGCCACCAGTGCATATAAAAAGGCTGAAGTGAAATCAACTCCCTGAAGCACAAACAACTGAAATACCTTAATATATTCTCCCCCTTCAGATTTTTTTGAGGTTACTGTATAAATAAAGAACATGAAATTCTTAGACTCATCAGAAAAGAAAAATTAATGATCTTTGTTTAATACTACTGGAAAAGTTTCAATACTGTTGTCATTATTATTATTATTATTATTATTAGGAACAATATAAAGAAGAAAATACATGGAAATGTAGATCACTAGTGAAAAATGTTTGATGGTTTTTGGGAGCTCACTAGGGAAGGAGTGTGACAGCAATAGCAAAAGCTACATTTCATATTACTGCACCCATTAACTTCACTAAATGCTTTTATTCTCAAAATGAATCACTGGAAGGAACTTACTTTTTATCACATTTATTCTTGTTTATCTTGTTAGGCATAAAGCCATACACTGCTTTAAGTAATCAAATATGTATCATGGCATCCTTTGCTTGGCAGGGTTTTTACCAATTTTTTTGTCTCTATAGCTGAGTAGATTTTTTTTTTTTTGACTGGGAAGCTTTGGCTGAGGAGGTTTTGCTATCTCAAATTACACAACTGATCTGCAAGAAAAACAACATCCCAAAACAGCCAATAATAATTCCCCAAGATAGAAAGACTCTTAAGTCTCACAGATGATAAAAGGGTACCTTGGATTAGCTAGCTCTAGATTTAAACTAAAACCAGTATAGAAAAATAAAGTAAAAATTTAAATTAAATCTCGTGTCCTCTCAACAAAAGACAAAACCTTCCAAAAGGAAGGATTTGTATGTTTAAAAAGGCAATGCCCATTTTTTGTTAATTAAAAAGCAACAAAATCCACATATAGTCTTAAAATTTTCACAAAAATAGAAACTCATTTTCTGATAAATTCTATGGAAAAAGAAGGGATAGAATCTTGGTTGGGAAACAAAGGGCTGGCTATAAAGTTGCTCAGAAAATGCACCCTGGTTTCTCTAAAGGCTTTGGATGATGCATATTTCCATTCTTTAAAGAGAATAACCTAACTTTTGCTAAATTTGTGACATTCCTTTGAAGAAAAGTTTGGGAAAATGTTTTATACAATCATTTTCCTCAACAGCAAAGGTTTGTTTTTTGTTGAAGTTGGCCTAATCCACATGGTATTGCCCTGAGAGCAGCTCTGAATATTTATAAGCAATACAGTGAAAGAATCAATAGATTAACAAAAGGAATAGTAAGTTCCACACTGATGAATTAAGCCCAAAATTCCACCAAAAAGGGGCAGTTCCCTTCTTTTAGATTGTGTGCCTGTGATTGGCAGCTCTTCAGACATTGCCCAAAGTATTTATGCTCAGAATCAATGGGATCTGAGAGCAGAGCTCAATCAAACTCAACCTTAGAGGCTTGGGTTGTCCTCCCAGCTGAGGCAGGGAGTTCAAGGCAAAAAAATAAAATAATTATGTGTATATATATATATATATATAAATATATAAATATAAATATATATAAAATGTATAAATATATAAATATATAAAAATATATAAAGTATAAATATAATATATATAAATATAATATATGTAATATGTAAAATATCATATCTATTTTATATTTATATAAAAATACATATATATTTTATATTTTCCTAATTGCATTTTTTGCTGGCTGAACAGGTATTTGGTTTCCTCTAACTTCAACGTGAAGTCTGAAGAGCTTCCACTGACAGAAACATGGAATTTTTGGAACTCCAGGAATGCCCCAGGATATTGCCCTCAGGAAGGAAGGGGTTGGTGTTAATTATTTAATTACCAGAGAGCTTTTGCAGTAACCTTGGGATAAGCAGTTTATTATTTAAGTAGAAGTTGGAAGAGACCCATTTATGCTGCCAGCCACACCATAACTGTGCTCAAAGAGGGGGAGAGAGAGTGGAAAGAGGAGGCCAAGAGCATGAGAGCAATAGGTAATTCAGGGACTAGAGAGAGAGGGGCAAGAGGGGGGAAATGAAGAGGGATTAAGAGAGCTAAATTCTTGTTACAATACATCATATCTTTATCTATGGAGAATATTCTAATTCCCAGTAACCAACCAGCACATGACACACATTCTATAGAATTTACATATAGCCTATAAGAATTACTACATTACCATACAGTGTTACATTTTAAACTCTAAAAGCTACTCTTCAAATTCTTCTCTTGCTGCTTGACCTTTGGATTCTCTATCAGTAGAAGGGTATTTTTCAACCAACAGGGATTCTCCTTCAGCTGGCTGGGCTATTGTTCTTTGGTCATATAGTAACTAGCACTCAGTATCCTATAGCTCAAAGCTAGTTTTCATTTCTATTTCAATTCTAGGATTCACATTTTCAGAATATTTCGTTAAACAATCATATTCATAAGGTTTTCCTGCTTCATCTTCAACAACCCACCTCACTTGACAATCTTTTCATCTCTTGCTTGCGCTGTTGCTCTGCCACGTTTGCCACAGACTCAGCCAAATGGTTGAGTTCCTGCTCCTTTGGAGCTCCTGTGAAGTTCAGCAGAGGAGGCTCCCAGCCATTTCGGAAACGAGGGACGTACGGGGGAATAAAATGCTCTTTTGGCCATTCAGCTCTGTGTGAAAAGCAAATTAGAAACCTCTGTCAAGGGCCATGTGAATGCTGGTCTAATAGGGTTCCTGTAAATTGAAATTCTTCAGAATTGGTATTAGTATAGAGGAGAGGGTGGGGTTACAGTACAGGCAGAAACATGCTAGAACAGGGAGAATCAGCAGAACACATTTCCTCCCTGCAGTGCCCTGCAGAAGGAACTTGCTGCTTCTGTAAGGATATGTCACAAAGAAGCATCATTTGTAGCTTCTCACTTACAAGCATTTGCTTGTTTGATAATACTGAACACAAGTGTCTTTCTCCCAGGAATCTCTATTACATCAACATTCTGTTCTGATTTGCTCTATATATTAGATTTTTCCTCACCAGTCCATGACTCTCACATCTATCACTAGTGAATTCCATCTATCACTTTACCTGTTATAATAAGATATTTCTACAAAAAACCTCTGAGATCATCAAGGCCAACCTACAGTTACAAACACCACCATAAAAAAAATATTCTAAATACCCCAAACCATTAAAATTCACTGATACAGCTGATTCTTGGAGAATTTCTTTTATCTACTGATCACCTATGGGCTTTGTGGGCTCCAGAAATAAGAAGCCCAAATGTGCTTTAAAGAGTCATAGTTTAAAGAGTGCTAAAACACAACAAACTTCTGCCTAATAGCAAAGGATGTGAGACAGAAGATACAATCACAACAAATCTAGGACTTGTTTTAATGGGGAGAAATATTGCAATGCTCTATTTGTATGAAGCACCCAATAAAGGCTTCAGAGAAACAGCCAGCTTTGTTAGAACACCTGAAAGCAGGTGTGAAGCTTAGGGGGCCTAGCTACACCAAAACCAAAATAAACAAGTAGCTTTTAAAGATTAAAATAGATTTAGATTTAAAGATTTAGATATAAACCCCACCCAGCTCTACATGCTCCAGGACCCAAGAATTATCATCACATTTGCTGTTTTATAGTCTGGATTGATCTTTATAAAATACTGTGCTACTTTTTCAGAGTTCCATCAGTGTTCTCTGTTGTAACACCAAGCATCTAAATCAATGCTTTCCTGCCCTGCGCCTTTGCACTACACATGACACTCTGTCCCACAATATAAATTACTGAGTCTTCAGGGTGGAAGCAGAAACAGGAATGTACATTACAGGTTTTTAACAGGCTCAAAACCAAGGATTTGCCAGTCACACGAGCAGCCAGCAATTCCCAGCCTGTTTGGCCTGGCTTGGTCAGTAATCCCTGATTTTATCATTCCCCTCTCCTGCTGCATCCCACCCACCCCAGGGTACCTCTGGATACTGAGATCAATCACACCATCAATTCTAATCCACACAGATCAGCCAACTACATTTTAAGTGCTCCATTCTTCATTACCAAACACGAGCTATTTCTCTTTCTATTACCCTTTTTTTTCAGAATGGACAAACAAATGGAGTAGCTCCCAAGAAAGAAGCCCATTATTTTGCCCAGTGATCCATTTTCCCTGGCTATGAGGCCATTTCCACTCCTTCCATGCAGCCTTCCTTACACTCTGCAGCTTTCAATCAACCAAATAATTAATAAAATAATTAATAATAATAATTTTTAAAAAATCCATCTGGTAGACATTTGTGTTCCAATCTGAAATTTGGATGAATAAACATAAAAAACATGCTGCATTTCCAGCCCAAGTGATTGCATACTTCATCATCATCAAATGCACTTATCTACCACAGATGACAGAGTCAAAATGCACTTTGCTAATTAAAGATTTTTCTTTTGAATGCTCAATGCACCTAATTTCAAACTACAGAATTACCTTGAACCCAACAAATGCATAAATAAGTGAACTTTCAGCTAAATCACAGTGAATTCATTAAATGCAATGTGTAAGGTATGCACATGTGGCACAATTCAGTCAAGAAACATTTTTTTATAATTATAAACATTTTTATAGCATTATGATGCTTTTAAAGAAGACATTGCAAATTTTTAACTATTAATAATTATTGGAAATTGAAAACAGATATTTGTAGCTATTATTTAATATTTTGTCACTCTTTATTGCATCTTCAAATTGTTTTTTAATGAAGTCCAGATAGATGGGCTGGAAAAATAATGGTGAAAAACAACTGGAAACATGCAAGGGATAGCTCAGAAAAAGATACTCCAGAAGATTATGTCAAGAGGTTCTGGATATCACTGACAAAAAAAAATTCTCCCTGCATTTTGTCTCTCCTTGAGATCCCAAATCTGAGTCAATCTAAAGAGTTCCTCTCCAAAACCTTCAAAGAGTAGTTCTCAAGGGTCCAAATCCTAACAAAGTAATATTGAATTTATCAGGGGCTGGATAACCTGGTTAAGACCATGTTGATAAATTTGATTTTAGAGAATGCTCTCTGAAATCTGATGATTTTTTCCCCACCTGGCTTTGGTCCATGAATCACCCAGGGACATCCACAGCTGTCCCTCCTCGCTGGTGATGGTGTATCGCAGGAAGTCGATGGTGTCTTTTGTCAGGAGGGGGCTGAGCACTGTGCTAGCAAGCTCTGGACCTCCTGTTGTCTGCACCACCTAAATCCAAGGATTAAAATAATGCCAAGAACACACAGGTTGTCAGTAAGGAAGCGGCTTGTCAATTTATGTTATCTACATGAATGTGAATTTATGTTATCTGCTGCTAGGAAACAGTCATTACTCATAAAAACATACCCCAGAAGTAAAAGCCCCTCTGAGAACCTGACAGGGTGTCTTGATGTCCTAAAAATTAACTGAACTATTTATTTCTGGAGAACTGTTGCTCTGGTCACCATCCATTTTTTATTTAGACCCACTCTGGGCAATAATATTTTTTGCTTTACTGATCAAAGCCACACATACTTCCATTAAATATGCTTTCAACTCTCCTCCTGCATTATGTAGAGAACCTCAATTTTTTGTATTGCTAGTCAAAAATTATAATGGGAAACTGTAACACAAGGCTAAAGATGATTTAAATAAATACATTTAATAGAAGGGAAAATATGCAGAAAATGAGATAAATTGTTTTCTAAAGAAAACCTCATCCTGAGATACAAACATTTTCCTTACTTATTGTCCAGGGACACAACATTTCAATCTTGTTATCATTGAAAAGGTTACAGAGCATATAAATACAAGAGTTCTGAAGGTAAACACTTAGAAAACTGTAAAACCTTACCATATGTAGTGGGGTAAAGAGAAAATGAACCAGATCAGCTGCACTAGGATTTTGGATATGGAACTTCAACTTGGCCTGAAGGAATAGAACAAATGGTACATTTTAAGAAGCATTTAACTATTAAGACAATAAATACTTCAGGTAAGAGTGGCCATCCTGCTCAGGTCCACCTAAGCCCAGTGCTTGGCCTGCTGAGTGCCCATCCATCCCATTGCTCTTGTCTCCATGCATATTTTAGCACCTATCATGCAAAACAAGAAGTTCCACAACCAAATGAAATGCTTTGTGGAGAAGCATCACCTTTGGAAATCTGACATCTCTTACTTTCATTAGTATTCTGCAAAATCTTCCAATAAAACTAAATTGTCTTTCTCAATTCACTTTTTCCTAGCAATGTTCATAACCATTTACAGACTTATTAGATTATTCCTGAATCTGGTCATTTCCAAGCTGAAGTAATTCCTTCAAGTGTTCTTGTCCACCCTGCACCTTCAATTTTGCTACACTGGCCAAAAAATTCAATCCAGGTGACATAATGGCATACTGATGCTCTTTGTTAATGTTCTGTTGTCCTTTTTTTTTTCCCTGATGGGTTTTGCCATTTGCTTGGTTGATAATACTGAACACAAGTGTCTTTCTCCCAGGAATCTCTATTATATCAACATTTTGTTCTGATTTGCTCTATATATTAGATTTTTCCTCACCAGTCCATGACTATCACATCTATCAGTAGTGAATTCCATCTATCACTTTACCTGTTATAATAAGATATTTCTACAAAAAAACTCTGAGATCATCAAGGCCAACCTACAGTTACAAACACCACCATTAAAAAAAAATATCCTAAATACCCCAAACCATTAAAACTCACTGATACAGCTGATTCTTGGAGAATTTCTTTTATCTACTGATCACCCATTGGCTTTGTGGGCTCCAGAAATGAGAAACCCAAATGTGTTTTAAAGAGTTATAGTAGTTTTTATTGCATCTTGCCATCTGTTCCTCAAACTGCTTTTGGCTACCCTTGTTCTGCTTTTTACATCCAACTGTCCCTCCAAATGAATAAAGGAGGAGGAGGAGGAGGATGTGTTTTTGCTTCTAATAACTTCCTATATGTTGCTCCTCAGTCATAACAACCCAGTCCCAGTCTATCTGAAGCTTTTTGACAGATGGTAGGCATTTCTAGAAGCTTCCAGCATGAGATTTTAAAACCATTTCCATTCTACTCGAATATATTATTCTTCTAGCTACTCCTTTTATTTTTATACCAGATTCTTCATTTTATACAGTTCTCCTTGCCTGGCATAAAGCACAAATTTCAGGCTTTTGTTGCTCCTGCAAAAATGCTGAAGTGAAGCATTGTTAAAGGATTGTCACAGCACAACTCATCAAGAGCAGCACTAGAACCAGGTCCCAGATGCTGCTGAGCATCAAAACAAGAGCTGTGACTTCTCCTGCACAGAACAGAAAGATTCAAAGATGCACAGATTTTTTCTTGGGTAAAAAAAAAACTAATTGAAATGCAGAATGCAGTAAAAAGAATGGAAAAAAAAACCCTGGACATGACATCTTTTACTGAGGACATGCAAGTTCCAAGATATTCATCCTCCCTCAAAAGAGCAATCCCTCAAGGTCAGAACCACGACACTTGATGCAGCCTTTTTTTTTTTTTGTTTTTTAAAGGATATTTTTAACATGTCTAAATATTTCCTACAGCCCTGCAATCAGAGCTCACTCCCCAGGAGGAGGAAAGAAGCTGTTTTGACTCAGTGGATTCAAGTGCAGTTTTCCCCACTGGCACAGCCTCCCCAGCAGCTGGAAGGGACAGTCAGTGTCTGACAGCAAATGCTTTCAAGGTCCCACGTGCTGCCTCCCTTGAATAGGAGGCTGCCACTTGAAGAAGAGGAGATGCCAGCAGAAAGCTCCTGAATTATCATTTTGGCTGACTGAGAAACTGTAAAGAGACAGCAATTTGTTGGATGGAATGTTCTGAGGCCAGAAGCTCCTGGGTGATGATGGCAACAAGCACAGGGAGTCTGATGGGCACGGCAGAATAAAATCCAATTAAATAAAATCAAATTAAGGCCGCAGCTGGTGATGCTGGCAAGCACACAACAGAACTGTGAGCCCCACAGACCTTTCTAGGAATTCCTTTATGATTCAAAATCAAATTTCCCAAGTAAAAGGCTTTAAAGAACCAGGGAAGGAAGATGCTGAACACCAAATGTGCTCATCTAGGCATTGTGCAGAGAAGCTGAGGAGCAGCATCCCAAAGCTCAGAGGCCAAGCTAGCCCAGAGGTGGCCAGCCCTGGCCTCCCATCTCATACCCATGAGCTGCTATCACTTACCAGAAGATTGAAGCCATGCTTGAATTTTTGGAAGCAATCAACAAATTCATCTGGAGGTGGTGGCTTTGCACGGAGAGTAAGAACACCCTCTGGTGAACAGAAGGAGACTTTTATACACCCTTTTATAGTTATATAGCTTCCATAAATATTCCAGGTATAGTAAACAGCAAAACACACAAGAAATTTACTATCTTACAGAATTCTGTAAATATAGAACCGAGGCAGGAGCAGATTCTGTGGTCACATCTCTAATTAGTCATTCCCCACTGACTTCAAGCAAATGATTTTCACAGGTTTCCCTCTAAGCATATACTTCATAGGAACTTTTGTGCTCAAATTGAGAGAAAATTGCTACACTGATTAATAAAAACCACACAAAAAGACATTTCCTAGCTCCTTCAATGATCCTGAGAGAAACAGAAAGTGTGCACTATGAACTCTCACCTCCAGGTCCTTTCTTTTTACTTTTTTTAGTTTTCTTCCTCTTTGAAAGCTCAGCAAATGCTTCAGCAGCTTTTTGCAGTTTGGTAACAAAATACTCTATGTCATCCAAAATATGGTTCAGAATTTGCTGTGGGAAAAGAGAAATTTAAATTTAAAGAAAATTAAATGTTTCTCTACAGAATCTATAGCAGAAATACTCCAGAAATTGAAATGTCCAGACTCCCAGACACCAATAGCTTCCTTGGAACAAATTCCATGCTGGAACATTACATATTTAGATACCTCATGTTTTTAAGTTTACATACACATAAAGTATTTTAATTTTATTTTTTTTAAAAATAAAGGCCCAATGGAAGTTTTTAAAATTTTTTAAGCTCAGACTGCAATTACACAATTTATTTCCACATTCCATTTCTGCTGAGAGCACAGGAAAAAAAATCTCTTTTATTTGAATGGACAGCATTTTTGTAAAGAGTATAACTTCCTAATCTCCTTTAGCACTAAGTATTAAGCTATTTGGTGAAGCTCTCTACAAATTAAGCTGTTTGTGGAGAAGTGCTCTTTGAAGAATTGATTTCAAAGAGCAACTGGAGAAGAATGAATGAACCCTGGGAGAAAACACAAAGACACCAATCCAGCAGGTTCCAACACACTTTTCTCAAGACCCTCTGATGTTGCTGAGGGCAAAATCAGAGTGGAGGAGTAGAAAGTTACAAATGACACATGGGGCAATATTTGATCTTGTATATACCATAGAACATGCCAAATATTGTTGCTTAAATGCAGGAATGCTTTAAGTTATAAATAAACATGCTCCACCTCTCTTCAGAAATGATCATGTTTATTTTCCAGGTGTTACACATATTCAAGTCCTGCTAAATTGATGGAATTTTTTAGCTTCACATTGTTTGCTGAAATCTGTCTACTTAAAAAATTAAAATTTATATTTCCAGCTCTTCACAGCAGAAAATTTGTCATCAACATTCAGTGTGTTTTTCTTTCTTTTTAAAAAAAGAAAAATTCAGAAAAGAAACTGCCACCTGTTCGTTTTAGATCTATCACAACAAGCAGAGGCTGCTTGGAAAGCTTTTCTCCTGAATTTCTCATGTGGAGAAAAGTCTTTCCACAAAGGAGAGCTGCAAAATTTCACAGACATGATGAAGCATCATGTGTAGCTTCTCACTTACAACATCTCTGTCGATCCTGGCTGCTATCATCTCTGCTGTTTCTTCCTGCTCATGGTATTGTCTGTGCTTTTCATCTGCAAAGAGGACAGAAGAGAATAAGACATGCATATTTGTGGGATTAGAATATTATTATATAACAATCATAAAATATAAAAAATATTATATTATATTATATTATATTATATTATATTATATTATATTATATTATATTACATATTATATTATATTATTTCTTCTATAATATATAATACATAATATATATTCTATATTATAATATATATTACATGATATACTATATAAATAATCATTGCATATTACATGTAATTAAATTATACATAATCATATATTATAATGATATCTATTATTATATATATACTAAAGTATATATATATACTTTAGTGTACTTTAAAGCATCAATTGTATAGAAATTGTTACATTTTTGTATATATATAATTATATATATCTATAAATATATAAACAAAAATATAACTATTTCTATACAGTTGATGCTTTAAAGTACACTGCTGTAAGAAAAAGATGGGCAAAACTCAACCATTCCCTTTGCAAGGACTCCACACAAGCTGAAAATCTTACTCCCTAATGCCTGATCCTCTCAAGGCTCACAAAAAAAAAGCTTCTGTACATGCTTTTAGTCCACTTAACTACATAAATGAAGTTAACTGCAGAAATATGGTACCAGGCTCTAAATTAATAAACAAAATTCAACACCAAGTGGCAGATTATAAATACAACACAATTAGGAATCATCCCATTTTGGAAGATATGCTGAAAGCTACTCCAGTAGAAGCAAGCAAGAAAGAGTGCAGCGACTTTGAAGACAGTTCTTATGTAAAAAGTTATTAGCAAAAAGGGATGCCAAGTCTGGAAACACAGAAAGGAGAGAGAATGATGTGATAGAACTGATATTTCCAAATAACAACACTCAGATTCAATGACTCTTTTGAAAATAACAAGGGAGATTTTTTTGAGGAATTACAAGTTTTCCATTTTTAACCCTGCACTGCATTTGTGAACAGGTGGGATTTCAGTTAATACATTTTAGGAAAGACCCACCTGAGGGGAATAAAAGGAACTGCAGGAACTTATGCCCATAATTGGTCTGACAAGACACTAAACTAATGAAATTTTTCTGATATCAGAACTCAAGCAAAAGAACAAGACAGCCTTTATTCAAAACAGATTTAATACTGTAGGCACATAGATGAAATAATTCTTAACATTTCAGATTTCCCTGAATATTTGAAGTTGTTATTTTTTTTTTGCATAGTTGTGTACTTTGTTGAGTGATATAGAAAAATTTAATGAAACAAAAATTATAAGGAATCTAAGGGTTTTTTATGGTACAGTTGTGATATCTATTATTAAAAGAACCAAAGAAAACAAACTAGAAGAGGCTTCATCTTAACTTTTTTAGTCTGTTTTATAGAAGGAGCTTTATTCTGTCTAAAGAACTTTTATTTTTAAAGAAATCTGATCAAAATGACAGCCATCAAACAGAGGAATCCCAACCCATTAAGAATGTTACAGCATTTCCTAGTTAAGGCTTAAAAAACCACCCCAAGAATGCACAACAACAATAAATAAATAAAAAAAAAACCCAACAAACTAATTAGCCAAAGCTGCCATTATAAAGATAAATATAAATAAATTATGCTGATCTCAGTTCACCTTTTAATCCATGATTATACTTTTTAATTGTCCAAAATATCCCTATTGTGAGGAGAACATCATTAGATTACTGTGTTACTGTTCCCACCTTCACAAAAAAACCCCTCAGATTAAAATCTGGGACTCACACCCAGCTAAGCACAAGTAAAAGAAGCTCTGCTCAGTGAGAGGAATGAGGGATTTGTCTTTAAAAACAAGCTGTGGGTCTGCTGGTAGATAAAACTAGCACTGAGAGATAAACAATGGGATGGATTCCACTGATTGATGAAGGGAAAAAAGATATTTGCCTCTACAAACAAAGTGTAGGTTTGCTGGTAAATGAAACTGGACATTGAAAGATGAAAGAGATAATAGGGAAACACCATAAATTCCGTAAGAATTAAAAATTAAGTGGGAGGGTTACACATTAGAGGGGAATCTTAGGTGTCAGGCGTTCTGGGAAGTCTGTGCCTCTCAAGTACCTCAGCCAGTGGGGAAAGAGAGGGACATGGCCGGGAAATTGGGATAAAAAGGAGGCTGTGTCCTCCAAAAATTGGAGAGACCCCAGGGAAATGGCCATGGGCCTCTCCCTAATTTTCCTGACAACAGGAATCCAGAAAATGAGCAAATGCAAGTAGATGACAAGTCAGATTCTGGCAGTCAGATCTTCCTCCCTAGAACAGGCAGCACTGGCTTGGGGCACTTCAAACCAGACTGGGAAAATCTGCTCCCAGCAAGAGCAGAGGGCTGACCTTGTGCAACCATTTCTGCATCCAGCCCAAGTGCCCTTCACAAATGACCTCTGTTGATGCCAAGCAGCGTGCACAGCCACTCCTTGGCACGGCGGCCCCCAGGAATACTCACATTCCCCCTGCTCCGAGGCCCACGCCGACCACGCCGCCACACGGCTCCGCACGTCCACCTGCGTGATGGTCCCCGGGGGCACGGGGGCAGGTGCCCGTGGGGGCGGGGGGATGGCACTGTCAGCTTTGGAGATCATCCTAGAGGAAAAGGAGAAAGCCCAGGAGTGATGTTGGAAGGAAAAACGTTCTGTTCTCTAGTGCCTGGTCAGAGGAAACGAGGAGGCTTCGCAAGGCCCTCCTGGACTGCAGGCCGCGAGGCCCTCTCGGACCACAGGCCGCACTTTGGGCTTGCCAGCACTCAAGACCACGGTGTGTAAATATGTTAAACACAGCAGGAAAGCCACTCCATCAGAGAGTTAGTGAACCTTTGTCACCTGGGAAATCCCCAGAACATGTCAGTTTACACAGATAAATTAACTGGCTTGGGCTTATTAGGTGGCATTTTTACCACCACAAGGGTGGGGCTTGTCTTTTGTATGACAGAAGATTTGAAGCTATCTTTCAGCCATCACAAATCAAGTATTTAGTCCCCTAAGTTTGGCCAGCTGTCAACCACCTTTTGCTTAAAACCCTACCAACAAAACCAATTACTGGCTGATTTGTTTTGGGCCTGTTTTGTTTTTGTTATGGGCCTGTTCATCCTGTCTCAATACAAACACATCAATGTCCCCCACCTGCAATTTTCCAGTTCTTAGTGAAGTTTTAAATACTGTGAGGAAAGAGGTCTTTGAATTCATTCCAACATATAAATACCAACATATAAAATACACCACAGTAGCTCCTGTCGTACATATCCCCCCATTCCTTCCCCAGAGCTCTATTTAAAAACTAAATTCACCTTTTATAAGCCCATCTCATTCACAGCATTCAACAACAAGACCACAAAACATCAAATGTCATTTGGTCTTTGAACAGAGAATACCAAAAATAAGGAAAACAAAACCCAAACGAACATTTCCTTTGCCTTTCCTTCCTGCAGTCCCCTTTCACTCATCAATGACCCAATGCCAGCGGGCACAGGAGCCAAAAGGGAGGAACCAGCATTCAGCTGCCACCCACGTTTGACCTCGGGGCCTCACAGCCCTCGGAGACTGATATCTCAGATTATTTGTCCCAACAGATGTATTGACCTACATTCTTTTCCCAATTAAATCTCATTAGTTTCCCAGCGCATCCAATGTGTTGGAGTCCCTCTGGATTGCCTTGTGGTGCTTATGCCTGGTTTGTAACAGTCCCACTAATGGTTGAGTCTATTTGTTTAATTTTAAACCTACAAATAGAGTTAGACACAGTTCAGGTTCTCTTTTGTTTTTCCATGAGTACCCCTTGCTCTAGGAAATCTTCACAGCTTGCACACCAGGATTTAAAAGGTATCCAGAACTATTATATATTCATTCTAATATTTGTCCAGCAGAAATTTCTCTATCTGAGCACAATTCTTAATGAGAGATACTCTCACATGCAGCTACACACTGAATTTCTAACAAGCTACAACCATCACCATTAAGTATCTAATATATTTGTGCCCTTGCTTTTATGCCTCTGTTTGCTACATCTCACTTCTGTATTAATCTTCTCTGAACCCAACAGGTTCCTTCCCCCATAATTTCCAGCTGGCAGAGAAGATTTTGCTACCAGGGAAACAAGAAGTCTTCAGCATCGTTAAACAGGCAGGCAGGAAGATTATTCAATCTTCAGTTGCTGTTTTATTTAACATCTTCAGATCCCAAAACCTTTTAGCATAATCTTATTTACTTGGAGTTATAGGGAATTTGTGTTTTTTTTAATTTAAATTCTGAACTATTTGACCCATATGCAGAACTGAGACATGCAATGCCATTCTCTGACAAGTGGAATTGATCTCAGTTGTTCCCATCACTAAGGTGGAATTGGGGAAGGTAAGACTGACACTATAAATTGACAGAACATGAGAAAATTATTAAAGCAAGATATGGCTTTAATACACATAGCTATGGGAGTACATTATTAGCTAAAAGGAAAAAAGCTCAAGTCCTCCCAAAAAAACCCGAAAGACAGCAGGCAGACCTGGAGAGCTTCTGAATGCTGTCACGCTGTTTGATGATCCTACACACTGCCAAGAAGTTGGATTTTTACCTCAGTGTCTCCAGCCTCTTCTTTTGTTTCCCACTTTTGCTGTCACTGATTGCACTTTCAATATCTTCATGAATAAGGGTAGCCTAAGGAGAAAGGAGCAGAAAACATCAGGAACCAGCTACTACATCCAGACCTTTGAAATAAATATCTCAGCTTTAGATAGAGAATACCTTATCAAATCCCATTTATTAAAAAACACTGGGACAAATTATTTTACACATGAACAAAAAAAAAAAAGACAGAACAAAATCTGGGAGTTGGTATTTTTGTCATTACTCCAACTTGAAGCATTATCATCATACAAGTACGTAATCTAGACACCAAATTTGTCTGAACAGCTGTAATTATCTCAAGTCAACCACTATTGCATAAGCTACTTTTTCCCCCTCTGCATTCCTAATTTCTGGTTGTCTCAAGTATTTTGTTTGTCTCAGACTATAAAAAGAAAATCTACTAAAAATAGAAGCAGCAAAACTACTATAGATGGCAGCAGCACAAGCATTAAGAAAATAACTCGTAATGATACAATTTCCTTTCAGAAATAGTGACACAGCCTCCAATTTCTCTTTGATGTAACAGAAGATTAATTTTTCAGAAGATTCCCTAACGTGTATGTTCCTGCCACTCCACAACTGCAACCTGCCCCCACCAGTGGCCCCACAAGTGAAATTTTGATGCAAGTCTAAAGCATTATTTTAATAGATCTTGCATTAAATAGGTCATGGCTTCTCGCAGGATTTACAATGCTCTGTTACATGTCTTCAGCTGACAAATTAATTTCCTACAAAGGCTGTCAAAGCCCAAATCTGTCAGTGCCTGGGCTCACTCTGCAAGGACCATGTATTTCTTAGTACTCTCATAATGCAGAAGTGTGTACCTTTCTGGGAGGAATACATAACTTCTGCTAGGACCAGAACACATTGTTGAATTTAGGATTTGAGGGGATTACGGGACTTTTCAGGCTATAATGGATTCCACTACAGAATAGTTATGATAAAGTTTACAGATTTAATAGAAAAAAAAACCTCAGGGGATAAGAGGAACTTGAACCCAGAAGAATTCCATTAATCCAATACTCTTGGTATTTACTATGTAATTTTTTTCTTGCTTATAAAATGTTAGAATGCCCCAAATAGTATTGATTTTAACTATTTTTTATTGCAGAGGCTCCTGGAGTTGCTTTTAACTTCCATCAAAAGCAGGGAAAAGCCAACAGAGAAAGACCTAAACTTTCAAAACCAGAAAAGTTTCATGGGTAAGGAAAAAAAACAGGGTATGGCCACAGAATCAAACAATACTTCAGAACAAAGAGAGATACTGGATTTACAAGTCATGCTTATGTACTCCACATTTTTATGTGTACACAGAGAAACAAAAATTTCAAAAATTAAATTTTGAAATTTCTCTTAAAAAAATGAAGAGACCAACTCTACACATTGAGAAGCTGAGTTCAAAAACACCTCAAAAGGGATCCCTGCATTATTTAACACAATACCCCCTGAACTTCTGACAGATCCCACTTTCCTTTAAAACAGCAAATTCTGAGCAACAGATCACACAATACCTAATCATCCTCACAGAGCTCTCACCATGCTAATTCCAAAACTGTTGCATAGTGTGATTAACAATCTGTTGTTTCAAGACAATAATACAAACTGCTACAAAGGAATTAAGAAATCCCTATGAAATTGTCAACTGGAATTACAGAGAATAACAAACAGAATTAAAATTTATAACCTCAGAAATAAGTATTGTAGAATACATTAAAAAAATAATTTACACTTGAAGGTAATATTTTCATCAGATACAAGCAATCTCTTTCCTTGCTTTGCCCCTCCTGCAAGGACTGTTTTCCCTTTCAAGATCTCTCCAGCAGAGCAGAGATGCAGAGAGGTGAAAATGTAGAGAGTGTTTAACTGTTCAGGGACAAAAAGCACTGAAAGAGTAGGCAGGAATCAGGACTAAGATGAGCTCTTTGAAGATTATAAAATAAATTTGAGGCAACTCAAATTATTTTACATCGCTTTTTTCAGAAGTGTGAAGGCAAACCATAGATATTTTCCAGAGCTTTATATATTTGCAAATCTAAATTAGCAGCTATAGAGTCCAAGAACCAATATTTGCAGTGAGGATATATTTGAGCATGCACAAAGAATTCAGCTCAAATATTAGATTACTCCTTTGCAATACACACTACACTATTAACACACTATGAGTAGTGCTGATATCATAAGTGGATTAAATTTAGAGCATATTTACAATAAAAGTACAGAATTATTTTCTATGAATCAGCTCATTTGGCTTTATCCACTGTTCTGGTCAATTCATACAACCTCCCCTATACAAATAAGTCATAGCAGATCTCCACTATTATCTTACCTTAATTTCATCACACTGGAAAAGATGCAAATCAGGCTTGTTTTGGGTTGGTTCTTTACATATTAATGCAAGAATTGAATTGTAGTTGCATGCATTCATCACAGCTTGGCAATGCTGAATTGTGCTTAAAGGAAAATTCTCCAGTTCATTCTGTCAGAAGAGGGGAAAAAAGAAGAAAACAAAAAATACCACCTTACTATACAGTGTCCTGATCTCAGAAAAACTGCATGAGCTATAAAGGGAAAGTGATAATAAGCTAATTAAAACCCTCAATCTCACATACATGCTTTTTCTGCTTGCTCCCTTTTTCTCTCTCTCTGAAAATGAGACTGTCACTCACAGATCTTACCTTTGATTCCAAGTCCACCAAACTGACAGCTTTGTCATCCACTTGAAGAATCATGTCTTGAGTCCACACTTTGCCTTTGGCATCCAACAATTTCAGCTTCCTGATTCCATCATCCACTGTAATCATTGCCTCTTTTCGGTCCAGAACAAAGGTGGTCAAGTGCTGGTGAGTAAGAAGTACATTTAAAAGAAATTATGATTGCAATTTTCCCTATTGTTCAGGAGTATCAGCATTTAAATTGCCAGCAACACAAATTATTCATGAGTAAAAGTGTCTTTCTATATGACAGAGCCCACCTCTAAGACATGGGGAAGGCTCTTTGGTCCACAATGTCATTTTAAGTCAACTCATTTTTGTAGCTTGCTTTTTGACACCCACTGTCATTTCCTCACCAGTGTGAGCAGTTAGACTTGAAGGCACATTCTGACATCCTCCAGGTATCAAAGCTAGAATTAAACCACGAGTTTTAATTAGCTTTCTTGAGGAGTGAAAACCTGTCTCTCTCTTGGCAAGCTGAATTCAGGAGGTGCCAGCAGAAGCTTCCCAGAAGCTCCCTGCCAATGCAGCTCCACCACCACCCTGACCTGGAGTGTCCTCATCTCTTCCAGAGCTGCCAGTAGCCTGCTGGTGGCAACCAGGACGGGCTTGCATCTGACTGGGATACCTTATGGACAGGCTGGTCACTTTTATGTGCAGCACAGAAGAAAATAGTAACTACTTTTGCTCACCATCAGCTTGGAATATTCTCCAGATTCAATTAACGGCCTGGAAACTAAAAAATACATCATAAACATCACCTCAGCTAGCTTCCCTGTCATTATGGCTGTGGCAATTTCTCCTTCAGCATGCAAAAAAACCCACAAAATTATTTCATTTTTTTCAGGCATGAATCCACCTTTGCATTCTAATTGAAGATCTGGTAACACTCGTTCAAGCTGAACCACATTTAATGTACGCTTGCTTATCAGTCTTCTAAATAACTTTAAAAAAATAAAAATAATAAAAAAAAGAATTAACTGTGCTTTCTTCTGTAACAGGATAACAGTACATGGTAATTACAGAGAAGAAAGTAGGTGTAAGCTGCATATAATCAAAGTATTTAAAAGAAGTAAAGTGAAACAAACTCTGTACTGGCTGCTTAGCCAGGAATGCTTAGATTTCAAATGCAAACACTTAATTGTTATGCCAGTACAGGACCAAACTGTTATGAAGAACCCACACAAAAATAGACAGGCAATTAGAACCAACACATGTACTCATTTGCAAGCTGATCATAGCACTTGAAATTAGGAATCTTCTGCATATGATCTCACAATACACAGATGCTTTAAAACCCAGCAAAAAGGAGCTGAGAATCTGTGGTGCTTTCAAGACTTGGCTTAACCCATGACTGTGGTCTGATGGCAGCAGGAGAAAGTTTGAGCCAAAGTAAGGCTCCAAAAGGAGGCACTGCATTCAAAAGTGCTTAACAGGCTACACACAGGCACTCAGGGCTTACCCTGCTGAATATTTTAAATATGAGAGCAGCATGCAGTAATTCTTCAAAGCAGCTTAAGACAGCAAGTCACTCACTTGGCTCTTCACACTGGGGAAGGATCTGTGCAGGCAGAATCTATTTAACTACCACGTATTTGACTCACTGGGGCTCTGAGGGGTTAATGCTCGACACTTTATGAATATTCTAATACCTCTGCTGATTAGATCTGATCAGAGTATTAGTTTTAAATATCACCCAGTGTGCCTTGCCAGCAGCACAGTGTTGTTCAGCTCTGCCTCATCTGTGCAAGGAGCCAGGTTCAGAGACAGGGCAGCACAAGATGTTGAATCGATGCCCCGTTGAGAAGTCCTGTCTGTTTGCCAAACTACACACAACTTTGCTTACATCCTTCTCCATCCACATTTCAGCTCATTATGGAAAAGCTACAAAATTTGAGACATTTCAGCGTAATCTGTTCTGAAGTGGCCCCAGGCTGGTGGGATATTTTGGAAGATGCGTGTGCCTTCAAGCTTCTATATCCTCAAAAAACCATACAGACAAAAATAACCACACGTAACAGAGCTGGAATTGGTGTATCACTCTCATCTCACCTCTACGTGGTACTGTGACGTTTCAGATATGCTGCTGACACTGTCTCGTGCATAATTCTTTCTTTGTTCTAGAAGTGGGAGGAAAAGAAACAATAATTATTCATTCAACGCCCTATCCCGGTGTCTTGACTGCTTCTCAGAGACACTTTGGACAAGTTGTATACATGAGAAGAGGAGATAAGCTGTGGTTCATTTCTGTGTTTCAGCAGCAAATACCTCCACCCCCACATGGTCCAGCACAAGGACCATTTTTATGTCAGCAATGTTACCAGAGAGCTGGTGGTGCCCACAAAATCCACTTATCTCATCCAGTGGGTCAGGACAGCGGAGGGGAGCAGTGCTCTGACTGGAAAGACTTGGGAAGGCTGATTATTAAAATCTTTGGCTTGTCACTGTAGAAGCAGCATGATAACTAGCACTGGGCTCACTGTATCTGTATGAGCATCCTTGAAAGCAGAAGTATTTTCTGATATATACAAATAATTCTGATGTTAAACCTACAAGATGACAAAGGCACACACACACACAAAAAAAAAAGACCTGACTCATCCTTTATTTCTTCCTAAAGTATTCAATTCATTGAATTTCTAATTTAGAAATAGGCATGGAAATATACACACACATACCAAAATATCTCTAAACAGGAAGATTTTTCAGCTAACAAAACACAATGCTGCAAAAACAGAAACATGATGTGCCTTTTACTCTGTACAACAGATTCATGTTAAACCAGGAGAGGAAGGAAGGGGAAAGGCAAGATGAAGACACAACACACACCCACACCACGAAGTAATGAATTTAGATGAATACTGAAGAGCACTTTTCAACTCTAGTGAAAAAAAAATTGAATGCAACATTTGGGAGTTTTGGTATTTTTCACTACAACCACTTAAGTGCCTGATCTGGAACACATCAGGAGTTCCTAATTATTATTAGGAATATTTTTTGTATATATAAAATATCTATTATATATTATATATTAGGAATATCATAGGAGTTATTCCTAATAAATAATGTTTCACTTCATTGTGAAAAGGTGACATGGCTGAGAGAGGTCTAAGGAAACTCTGGAAGTAAGTAATTTTTTTTCCTATATACCATTAAAAATCTCCATTTCTGATCTTCAAATGAAATAGGTAGTTTGATCTTTTTTTCATATGATGAAAATACAAAAATGTACATCAATCCATCAATTTCATCACACTTGGAGTAGCTGGAGGTAAAATAAAGGTTATTTTGTGGACAGGAAGGTTAAGTTACTTCTTGTAACTTAAAAAAATTCTGTGTACTATGAAACATATGATCTGTGACACACAGAGATGTGAGTCCATAAAAACCTTCCCTGCAAAGGTTTCTTCTGTGAGCAGGGTTCATCCATACAGGAATTCCAGGTGCAAAGACAGCAGTGCCTCCATTTTCAGATGTCACTTGTGGAAGCATTTGTCACATTTTAGAAACACACCATTATCTCTTCCCTTCTCGGTGACTTTCACAAAAAACAAGTTTCTGAAATGCAGCACTGGATCAAAGCCCCCCTCCCACGGTGGCAAATGCCACTCAGGCAGCAGAGCCATCCTCATCCTGCACAGCACCTGCCCACTTTGCTTTAGCAAGGGAAGTGTGCAGAGCAAACAGTCAAATTCAGGAACACCACAAATTATCCAAGTTTTTAACCAGGAATGTGAATATTTCAAAGTAGATGTCTTACTTTCGTCATGCATTATTCTGAAATCACAGGGCAGAGGTCCAACATTGATTTTTTCCATCTGTATCTACTATTTCTGCTTTTGCAGCATGTTACTGAAATTGTTTTTTCAGTTGATTTGTCTTTGCAACAACAACACACACACACACACACACATGCACACCCCAACAGTACAGTAAAGCAGTACTGTCTCATTTGCTACCTTTCTTTTTTTGTTTGGATGATGATCTGAAGAAGTAAAGTCCATCTGTTCCTAATAAAACAAGGGGATTAAAAAGCAGTATCTAGTTAAATCCCATAGAATTATTTACATCTCTAAGGGGATCAGTTAGCAGTCTTCTGCTGTGGACTGTAAATGATACTTAAATACTGTCCAGTAAGAAAGAATATATGCTTTAAACAAAACAAAAAATACTTGTTTCAGTTAACAATGCACCAAATACTCAGTTTTGAGTGTTATCTTCTTTTAGGTGAACAAAAAGGTAAGTTTTATGCTATTGAATTAAACAAGCATAAGAAAGTTTACATCAACGGTAAAACTTATAAATGCTGTGAAGAGTAACAGTTGGAGTTGCTTTAAATAAAGAAAAAAAGTCTGGTATATGTAGAGGCTCCAAAGGAATTAGAAATCAGAGTAAATTTTGCAGGAGGCTCCTTATTCTGCTTCTGTAAGTTTTGTCTTGTGTTATGACAGGAATTCCAGAACAATTTGCAGCATGGATTAACAGATGCTCTTGCACAGAGCACACAACACTCCCAGTCAGACAGGATGGAAAGATGGTCAACAAACCACCTTTGGTGAGATTAAATGTAAATTTTATTAAAAGTTATTGTTATTATTACGTTGTAATTAAAGATTTTCATAAAATTTACATTTAACAAAAGTCAATCAGTGCTGGTGTTAATAAACAAAAAGTATGGACACAGCAACTGAGAGTCCACACTGAGAGCAATTCATATTTACAAATTTATTTCTTTAAAGCAGGTAGAATGAGAATTAGAACCTGCTGGAGACCCAAGTTATCATTTAGAGTAGAACAGAACATTTCAGTTGAGACTGAAACACTGCTGCAGAGGATCTGGGGGTGGATACTACAGCTGCACCCTGAAATTATTCACCCTTCAAAACACATCTAATACGAATCCTGGCATCAGGAAAAATTCTTTCCATTGTGGAAGGGTTTGTCTTCAGCCTTTGTTTTTCAAATCTTTTACAATCCAATGGTTCATAAGTGAGTCTCCTTCCCCCTACAGCTCCCTGGGACATGGTTTTCTTGGCTGCCTGGCATGAATCACACTGAAGGAAGAATGGTCCCCCCATGATTATATGAACCTGGCACAAAGAAACGGGAATAAAAAATAATAAATGAAAAGAAAGGGAAGGAGAAAGGGAAGGAGAAAGGGAAGGAGATAAGGAGAAAGGAGAAAGGAGAAAGGAGAAAGGAGAAAGGAGAAAGGAGAAAGGAGAAAGGAGAAAGGAGAAAGGAGAAAGGAGAAAGGAGGAGAAAGGAAAAGACTAGTGTCACTAAAGAACACAAAATGGTTCACACGAACACCTCTCAGTGTCAGAACAGGAAAGAGGAAACTTTATTCTCTGACCCCAGTATTTATAGATTCTCGACAATGACCATGGATTGGATAATTAAGTTACACCATCCCAAGCACACTGGTCATGCGAAATGTTCATTAAAAGACATTTCTTAGAAGGAATGTGATAAACAACTTATGTTTATAGAACTTTCATGGGAAAGTAATTAAAACTATGAAAACATTATCAGAAGGCTTTCCATTTCAGAGTGACAGACTGGCATCTCGAATGCACGCTCTTCAAGCTCTGCTTTCTCCTAGTGCTTGGCTCCTGTCCCAGATTCCACCTACATCCCTCCAAAAGTTCTCACCTTGCCATCAGAAAGGACACAAACCCTTTTGCATCCCCTCCTGCTGAAGTGCTCCACTGCCTTGAGCTTCTAGAAAAGCTGATAAAAGCCTGCAAAGCTGTTCTCTGTCCTCCTCTATCGAGGGGACACAAGGGACTGCTGCTCCTTCCTACAGCACTTCTGTGTTTCCATTTCCAAGTCACAGAGATCTCAGCACACGACTCTCACAGGTTTTTTTTTTTCATCTGTATAAATCTTTTTCTTTTCCTACAGAGTTGCCCATTGCCATTCTTCTGGGAATGCAGCTTCCATCTCCCAGCTCTTTCACATAACAAAGTGACAGATTATTAGCTATCAATATTAACCTCACTGTTTTTACAGAAACCTTAAAACCTTTACTTATCACACAGATTTCAAATGTGAGTAACACATGTTCTGCTATTGAAAATGAGCAACAGAATTTGCTGATGTGCTGAGTGTAATGGGTCTGGCTAACATGGAGATAATTTTGGATCTGATAACACAGGGATATTTTAGTTGAATGGTGTCAAAGTCTTCTCTATTTCTTATTCTGCTGCCCCAGTGAGTGGGCTGAGGGTGCACAAGAGGCTGAGAGGGGACAGCTGACCAAAAGGATATTCCATACTGTTTAATATCAATTAATACTGCTGAGCAAGGGCTCAGCAATAAAACTGGCAGGTCAAGAGTCTTTCCAAAGACCCCTTGCCCAGATAGCCTGAGCATTGCTCTGCTTATGGAAGGCTGTGAGTAAATCCCTTTGTGCTATTCAGTCCATTTTCCCCCCTGTTCTTTCCTTCACCTATTAAGCCATCTTTATCTTGATCCATCAGGGTTTTTTTTTTTCTTGTTTTTTCTCTTCCAATTCTCCCCCCTATTCTGCTGCAGAGAGGAGACAGGGGGAATGGGCAAGGAAATGGGGAGGTCCTCAATTGCTGGCTGGGGTCAACCCCTGACACTGAAAACAAAATAATGTTTTGTATGCTCTGTTTCACTCTCCTAATCCTCCCAATCAGTCTCAGCCTCTCACAGGTCCCTTCATGCATGAAGAGGCTATTGAAGCTGAAGTGAAATACTACAACAGAGACTTCCAGACACGATGCATAAAACTATCAAAAGATTAATAAAACTATCAAAATTATTGAGCATTTTTCCTATCTGCTTATTGCTGTTCTTACATCCACAACTTACAAGTACAGGGCAGCTTTAATAACAGGTTAGCTCAAACTCTGCTGATAGGCTGCACATCATCTACACAAAGGGTTTTTCCTCTAGTAAAATTAAATTTAAAAAAAGAAAGAGAAGAGAGGATCATGGCTGAAGACACTTAAGTTAGATTCTTAACCACAATCTATAGCAAATGCAACCCAGAAGAATTTGATTAAAATATAATCTCTCACAACACAAAGGCAATAAAGTGAAAAGCAGCACAGCATTTCACTTATAGGTCCTGAATGTATGATCTACCAGCTATGAAAGCTTCCAGAGGAGCAGGAACATTGATCCACACTAGTACTATTCCTGATGTCTGATGTGGACAGATGTTACTGCAATTCCCGTTTTGTGACATTATTGAATTCACCAATCATCAGCTACATGTTTCTGTTTTCAAACAGAGTGTGAAAGCTGATTTTATTTTCATTTTTGAAAGCATCCAAAACTCCAGAAAACAAAAAGCAACCTCTTAACCAAAGACTTTCAACCAAGTCAAAAACTCTACCAGACAGTACATGGCACAGATAAACAGGGCTGTAGATCTCTGAAATCTGATGGCAATCCACATGGATGTGGGTTGACAGTCTCCCCCAAAATCTGTCTTATGAATCCTGGAGTGACAGCATAAAATATTTCCACACATCATCAAGCAGAAAATGCCAATACTTGGTTTACTACCATCTATCTGCATTGGACTGATTGTTGATACCCCTTTTTTTTGGCTTCTTTCAGTGGGCTCATTTACCTGCCTATGAGGTACACCATGAATTTGTTACACTGCAGTTCTTGCTCTGAATGAGGCGTATGAGAAATGCAAAAATGCCCAGGAAATTTCACTTCCAGCTCCAAATCACAGCCACCAGACTACTATAAACTCAGCACACAAAACACTCAGTCTTCTCTGATGTGCTGAGTGAAGACAATTTTAGCGACACCTCTCAGTTCTGTCCAATAACCTACAATAAATTGGCAATTTGGAGCTGCTGGCTCGTTCCTCCTGAGGAATGAGGCTGCTCTTGTGTCACTGGCTGGCAAAGCCCCAGCACAGCCCTGACACTGCTGCTCATCTCCCCACAGGAGGACAGATGGAGGAGCCAGTGCCAGAACAACAGGTGACAGCAGGAGCCAAAAACAGTTTCAGATGGAAAGATCAGGAAGCAAATGATGAAATAAACCCCGCAAAAATGCGCCCAGAGCACCTTCCCTCGTGGGTCAGAGAGACATTTGTCATGCAAATAGAAAACAGCTCATTTCAGGAAGGAAATGAGTGAAAACAAAGGGGTTATTTGACACAGGGAAAAAGGCAATTGTAAGGAAATTTTCACTATCAGACAGGCATATTAGAGATAAGACACTAGAGATAGGCTCCAGTCTGGTCTTTAGCTGAACTCCTGGTAACATCAATAATATTTCAGCCTCCTTTTCCACACCACTCTGGCCACCACTTTTCTGGTTACTGAAGGGCTAAATAATCATGAATCACCTCAGCAGTGGCATCTAACACATAAACTTCATGCCAGGACATAAACATGCCTCTGTGTATATATATATATATATATATATGTATATATATATGTGTAAACATATACACACACACAACAATAAGCAGTAATAAGTAGTAAAAATAAGTAATAATCATCATCATAATAATAAGTAATAATAATAGCAATATTAATAACAATAACAGTAATAATAACAGTAATAATAACAGTAATAATAACAAGTCTTTACAGTGCTTGGAAGAAACCGAGTTCAAGATCAAGTGGTCACTTAGGAGCCCAGGTACCATTTTCACTTGTTGATAGTCAGGAATAAATGGCTTAGTCCAACTGACTCTCAAGTTTTTCAAGAAAAGGAACATTTTCATGGGAAAAATTGCTGCAAACATCACATTGTCACATTTTAGTAAAAAAAAACAAAACAAAACAAAAAAACCCCCACTTTCTCTATTAACCTATAAAACATATATTTAAAATCTATGTACACAACAAAATATAAAAAGAAAGCTAAGACAGCTTCATCTTGCTTTATAGGAATTCAGTCTCATAAATCTCAAATAAAATAATTTAGCTATTAATTATAAATAAAATATTTTGCAATAAGCATTTTCAACACACTTTAACAATTCCAATATCACCCAGCTGCTTTTCACCTTGTTTGGGAGAGAATGCACAAAAAATTTAACATCACAGAGGAGGAAGAGGCACATGGGATGCAGCAGAATAGTAACTTTGTTGCTAAAACTTAGAAAAATTGCCCTAAATTTGAAAAAGATTTTTGGTGTTTTCCTTGTTCTCTGCAGCTTGTGTATGTGGTGATAGCAACAGCCTGGTTCTTTATGTGTGGAAAACAGAGCAGAAGTAGTAAAATGTGCAAACTCCACTCTAAAATCTGTGCCAATGCATATCCACTTGGAGCTCCAGGATAACTGATCCTTCTGTTTCACTCAGCTCCTGGCAGCTGCAACCACACTTTTGTGATCTATCTACCAGCAACAGAAGTGAACCAAGGACAACAATTCACTTTACAGGAGCCACCATGCAGCAGTTCCATGGCAAGCACTTTCAATTGGCACCTGAACTCACTTAAATACTTTGGAAGTAAAAAAAAATACCATTATGTACATTAAATTTACTCACTTGTCCCCATCTTCTCCTGACACATGACCATCCCATCATGTTTGATATGAAAAAGCTCAGAGAGATATTTTAAAAGCCCACAAAGATTAAAGAGCACAGTTAAGCCACTGATACTGCCCTGCTGTTCAAACCATGTAATCCTGAAAAATTTTGATGATGATGTAAAATGAAAAAGGAATCACAACACTCTCATAGCATCTCATAAAGAAATAATCTGCTAAGAGTTTTTTTGCAACGTCTCTTGCTGGTTTCTGTTGCCACCTACTATTTCTGCCAACACTTGCAATCAGTTTGTTGAGTGAACCCATACAGAATGCAGAAATCACTCTTGGAAATGATCAGCTCAGAATTTTTCTCAGTTTCAGTTCCTGCCCTCAGCACTTCGTCAAGAAACGACTTTTGTAGTGTAGCACCAAAACAAAGTAAAATTGAACTTAGAATGGTTCAATGTTCAGGTTGAATATTAGGAAAAATTGTTTCACCAAAAGGTCTGCCAGGCAGTGGAACAGGCTGCCCAGGGGAATGGTTGGATCACCATCCCTGGAGGTGATCAGAGGATGTGTTTGTGAGGAATTCAGGGCCCTGATGCAGTGGTGGCTTGGCAGTGCTGGGTTAATGGTTGGACTCGATGGTCTTAAAGTTCTTTTGCAGCCTAAAATGATTGTAAGACTCTAAAGCATGCTGCCTTCTGAGCTAACTCCTGGCCACCACTCCACCCAAAAGAGGAGGGAGAAAAGATTACTGCTTGGGATGTGGCAGTCCTTAGGCACTGCTCCTTGGGCTTTGCAGCTGGCTAACCTGCAGAAGAGTGGCACAGAGGGAGAGCTGGCTGATCCTGAGGAGTCCAGCATAGGACTGTTGGAGTCAGAGGCACAGAGTGTGTGCCCTTATCTCTGATACCTGGCTCTGACATCCAAGAAAGCACTGAATTTCATATAACACCATGAAAACAACTGTTAAATGGAAAAACTAGGAGTGTGAGTAAGTTAGTTTCTTAAGTAACTAAGTGAAAAAGTTAAAGGTTTAAGCTCTTTAAAAAAACAAAAGACAAGATGGAGGATTTAGGGCATTGTCTCTTCTTCCTTCTTTCTTCTTCATCCTCTTCTTCCAGAGGTTTTTGGGTAGTAATGAGGGATTGAATAGAAAATGCCACAGTGCAGCTCACAGGTGTTGGGTCATTGGGTCACTAAGAAAAATAATTAACTTGGCATTTGTTAATTTGGTAAATGGACATATAAAAAACCTTGAAGAAGATCTTTGTTGGCCATTTTGCACCTTTCTATCTTAGTGCACGTAGCTCCTTGTGCCTTGTATATATGTAATATAGATTAGAGAAGAATAAACAACAAGAGAAAACTGCCTCTCTCTCATCAATCTCAGTCCAAGGGGGGAAAGAACCCAGCCACAAGTGTGACATCAGGACAGGTTCTCAGGGGAAGCCTTGTCCTTCCAGTCTCATCAGTTGTACTGACTTTCAAAAGAACATTCAACAACAGGCTCGGATTTACAAAGCAGAACCTCTCACAGCCTGGCTGCTGCTTCTGTTCCCATTGCCATTCCATCGGTGGGATGCATTCCCAGGGGAGGAGGATGAGCTGAAAATGGTGCACTCCTCCACCATTGCTGGAGAGTAGTGTGCACAGCCAGGACAAACACTAGCATTTGTAGCTGGTGAATGCAACAAGGTTCAGGAATTCCTAACATCACATCTGAGAGCCACAGAGCCTGCTGGAAACAGCACGCCAAGCAGGACTCCAAATCTGTCACACCAGCGCTGATTTCCATTAAATCCTTGTGTCAAAGAAGAAGAATAGTGGAAGTGCCTTTTCTGCTAGCAGGGGATGAAGTTGGGGAGGCAGAGGGAGGTACAGGGGAAATCAAACCCACAGCACAGCTACACCCTTGAATGGCTTCTCCTTGGTGCATACTTGAGCTATAGGATCACTCTGAATTTTGTGTCGAATGCTGCCTGAAAAATGAGCAGGTGGGAGCTCTCTACTTAGTAAACTGAGAATTTTCTAGTTAGCTTCAGTAGGAATAAAACCACTTTGGTTTTTAGTTTAGTTGGCAGACACACCCACGTGTATGTTCTCACACTTTCAGATTAATATGTGTAAAATATTGCCACCACGTCACCACAATTACTATTTAAACAGCAATTTAGCACAGAAGTGAAGAGAGTTTTTGCAGCCTTACCATAGAGAGCTTTTGCACTTGTTCTTGAATTCTGCTCCCTCTCTGCCTGAGCAAACGTTGGGGAGCCATAGCCACTGGAAGAAAACATTTCTGATTATCTTCTGCATAGATGGAAAAAACCCCAAACCCTCCCCTTAGCTAGGACTGCACACACCTACAGCATCAGCACCAGAAGGAATGATAGTGGATATTTGTTCCACACCACAAATATGAGGGAGAATACAATATCATTCACAACTGGGGTGTGGTATACAAATAAATACCACCTAAACTCAAGTAACAAGCTTCACTGCACAATTATAATAATGATAATAAAAACAATAATGACCGTGCCAAAGAATTGGGTAGGATCTGGATATTTTTTATCCTGTGTACACAAGTGTTGATTGCTTTTAACAATTTTAGCTGCTTTTAATGAAAACCTTAAAATGGCTGTCATTGTCTTACACAAATGAGAAGGCAGTATGATCACAAGTGTCTCAAGAATGAGTGATATAAGAGTTCACCATAAAGGGACAACAATATGAGAAGCAAAAGACACCACAGATATCCCACTCCAATCAGAAATTCGTGTTCCTTGCCATCAGCTGGGTAAATTCTCATTAGTGTTGTGAGTCTAGTGCCATGCTCCTGATGCAGGGATCACTCTCTTATCTTAGGCAAGGTAACACTTTCAGGTAGCAGTTGCTCAGCTCTGTTTTCTGGGAAACAGTCTGTTCCCACAGATGGGAGAGGCAGCCTCATCTTTTATGCATAAAAATGCATTCACTCAGAGCTAACCTTAAACATCTCAAGCACACAAAGATCTCTCTGAGTAACATAATAAGGATGTTATGGCTACAGTGACTTATTTTGCTGTTCCAGATGAGTCTGGGCAGTAACACATCTTTCCCTCACACCAACACAAAAATCTGTCACTTTGGTTCCACGGTTTGCAAACCCCTCCAACAGAAAATGCCTTTTTATAATCCCAATGGCACCTGCCAATTACAGCTCCATCTGAAATGAAAGCCTGAAGAAGGAAGTACAACACTATTTTGTCCATAAAAGGCAAATCAAAGGCATAACCTTACTTCATTTGAGGGAAGTAACTTCCATATCCACCGGGAGGGGTGTTTGAGATGTGCCCATTCATTCTCACCGTCACTCACTGGGGGAAGCAACCTGGGAAAAGAAACAACAGCACGTGAATGGAAATCTCCTCAAAGGTGAAGGTTTAACACAGATGCAATACAAACAATACAAATACAAAGTGAGGAAATTGTGGCTGAAATGGGAGCGAAATGGCATCAACAAGCTCAGTTGTTATTAACTGCATCCCGGTGATGCCTCAAAGATCCGCTATGGAACTTCTCCCAGTAGCAATTTGATAGTTACTGCTTCAAATAATTTATAATTTAGTGAACAAAGCTGTTATTTTTGATACAATGGTCTTTAGGAATAGCTGCAGAAATAGAAGGCTCACTAAACAAAGAACAATATCTACTGCAAAAGTGAACAAGATGTTCCGAATGGCAACTTTATTACTCAGGCGTGCTTGATTTCAACCCTCGATTCATTTCTTTCAAATGCAACTTTTGAAATGACCTTTTGATACATAGTCTATGAAACATACCAGCTGAATTGTTTGAAAGATGCATTATCAAATTAAAACACAATTGTTAGCACAAAAGGAAACTTGGCTAGCTATTTTGGTACTTAAGTAAATCTTTTTCTTTTCTTTTTTTTTTGTGTTAGCAGCACTTAACATCCTGAAAGTTTGGCATGCCAAATGAAACCTTTCCTACAAAAGCAGTGCTGAAAAGGCCATGATAAAACAATTTTAAAAATTCTCCCTTTAATTTAAACATGTCCACTGAAGTTAAAACTAGCTCTGGGAAGAGACTTTCATAACCCTTTCATATTCAAATTTATCATGGGCAGACATTCTTTCATTTACATATATATACATGAATAATATAAATTTAAATATTTCTCCACATTTCAGTCACACTGCAGAGCAGTCAAAAGTGTATCTGATTAAATTTGTGCCTACAAAAGCTCTGTTTCCAAAGCAAACACAACCTGCTCTGTTTTCACCTGAGCTGCTGTGCAGCCAGCTTATTTTCTGAGCCCCTAAGTCAGCTCAGTGCCCCACAGTCTCTGCTCTCCTCGTGTTTCACAAAGAAGCAGCTGCTCTTTGACCTGCCAGTACCCACTGAGTGTCCACATATATTCTGCTACTTCCTTCTTCCCTGCAAAAATACAGCCAAGATCAGTGCTGAGCCCTAAATCCATCAGTCAGCTCAAGAGGTGCACAAGCTGCTGGTCTTCTGTGCTGAGAACATGGGTTTTATACCTTTCTGAGGAACACCTGGCACCTCCTGCCTTGGATGCAGGTAACAAAACCAACTAGATGTGTATTTGACAAGTGAAATCGTGGTGAAGGGTGGTGTTGCTTTTAGTGGGTACATACTTGCTGGTTTGGCTAAGTGTATTTATTACATTTTAGTTTGTTGAATTTGCTTTGAAATCTTTGCTCCTTGAAGAACCTCTTTAGTGGCACGAGCACATTCTGCCCCACAAATTTATCACATAGCCTGTTTGGCTGCTCTAAGACTCTTTTTATGGAGTGCAGTCCTTAACAGCTGCCTCCAGTAAATTACTCCCCGTGCTGAGTGCTGTTCAATTCATCAGCAATTACAACCTTTGGGAAGCATCCTGAAATCGTCCCATGACTTGAAAGGATACAACTATTCATTTTCTCAGCAGAATTTGCCAGCTCACTGTGCACTCCCTGTTCCATTTCAGCGACTGCCTGGGCCAGAGCAGCTCCCAGTGCTCCTCCCCAGCTCAGGCTGCCACTGAGCTCTTCAACACTTCCTATCAGCTTTTAATTCTTATCATCATTTGCAACCACGCTCAATTTGCTGCTCTGCTTCACAGTTTACCCTGTGATTAGCTTCTGAAGAGTCACCAGATCCAAAACACACAAATTATCCCCGCTACTGTTTGGTGTCCCCACTTTACTTTCCGTCCACACGTTAAGACAGCATTTATTTAATAATTCTGTTTGTAATAATCTTTTATAATTTGTAGTATTTTTTTTTTATAGGCCTATCTATAACAAATTCTGCACCTATCTTCCTTAAAGTGGAGAAAAACCCCCTTGGTTTAAAACTCTCTCAGAATAATTCCACTGCTCTGACATCTTAATCTGACAAATACTTGGTTTGTATTTGTACTCGCTCAATTTTATGGATGTGGCGAAACAGATATTTAAAGTAGAAGGAATTCTAATGTATTAGAATGTAATACATTAGAATTTCAAGCTTCAGCCTTTGAAGTCAGCATGACAAACTGAGTTTGAAAGCAGCAAGAAGGCTGAGCAGCAGATTTTCACACTGGGGAAAGAAACCACCTCTCATGACTAAATACTTGCTCACTGTAAGGCACAACACAGCTTAAACCCAAAAAGCTTCAGAATTATGTTTTGTATGAAGAGATATTGAAAATCTGAAGTAAAAAATTTTGACTATTTAAAAAAAAAAAAATCAAGCAGCTTGTTCTGCCCAGCAAACACAAAAGTCAGATTTAGCTGATACACAAACCAACCACTTGCTATTAGATAGTTGAGTAAAGGCAACAACATCTCCTCTGCCCCTCATGCAATTTTCCAGTGCTTTTGAAAGTGCCAGGACAGCTACCTTGACATGACAGTTCCAATGCTGTTGCAATTTCATGCAGTGCATCTGTCACTTGGTTCAAGAAACCTCCTGAATGTGAACACAAATAAACCCTTTACCTTAATTATTGATAATTAGTTCAAATATTTATAGCAGCATCAAAAAGCTACTCGTGACTCCCCGAAATTATCAAACAATTTGATCTCATTCAACCTAAATGTTTCAGGAAAAAAAAAAATTAGGAAAACTCTTTCATTTTTTTTAATTAAGTGCATGATGAAGAAAAGAAAAGAAACACAAAAGGGTAACAGGATGTGCAAGGCATTATTATCCCCTTGCACAGCTTTCTCTGCTGTGCTTCTCATCTCAAATGCTCTTTTATCTCTTATAACCAGTCAGTCCTGCAGCAAAAGTCACCCCCTGCACACTGCAAAGCCACTGTCAACCAGGAGTCTAAAATAAACTGCATTTCCTCTTTAATCCTCCCTTTCACCTCAGCCCAATCTCTGCTGGTGTCCTAGACTTTAAAACAAACATCCTTCACAATTAACTGCATGATCCCTCTTCAATTAGGCCTCAAGTATCAACAGTTTGCTCGTGAATATGGCCAAAAATGGGCACATGTTGGGAATCCTGCAAGAAAAAAAAAATAATCATGCCTGCTTAGAAAAAAAAAAATGCTTTTAACTAGGAAAGCTAAGTGAGATTTCAAGAAAAAAAGAATAATAAAAAATAGATACAGTAACAAGTAATAATAAGATCAATTTCAAGGCATTTATACTTAAGTATATTAAAATAATATATAATAAAATATATAATGTTATAAAATAAATATATAATATCAACCAAAGTAAGATATATAATAAAATCAGTTTAAAATAGTTATTAATATTATATTTTGGAAAATAAAAAATAAAAAAAATCCACAAAATTGTCTCCACAACAACAACAAATAATCCACCTAGGACCTCCCTGCTGCCATCAGCTTTATTTTTGAAGGGGTATTGATGGTCAGCAGCTCTGTGAATGACAGAGGTCCAGCCTTTATAACAGAGAAACCATTCCTGAGACAGATGTACTTTGGTTCTTCACTGGTCAGCAGTTACAGGTGCCAATCCTGATTGTGATTTTATAAATGGGTAAAAATACTCATCTTTTGAAAAATGCCAAAATGCAAAAACACTCTTTGTCTTCTCCATTTGTAGCACGGCAGCCTCGTGAAAATTATTAATTAACTATTATAAATGCAATTTATGTGTCAATTTATGTGCCATGTTATTTCCTAATAGGAGTTTGAAAGTAACAAAAGACCCCAGTTTATTTAAAATAAATTAAAAAAAAAAAATCCAAACCACTTTTTCTAGAAAGGTAGAGCTGTATAATTAAAGAAAATTAGATATTCTAGAGCCTGGTGCTCTTTTCCACTCATCCTGAAGCCATCAATCCAACCCAGTGGCAGATCATAATATCATATGGAAACCAAAAGAGAAACAACTGAATCACGTGGGTATTTTAGAAATTATGGAGGAAGGGGTGAGGAGAAAAGGATGCACAGGAAAGAACAGGAAAGCCAATAATGGTTGGAATGATTATTGTCTACTGATTAAGAAAATGTCATTGTTATCATGTATCCCCCAAATTCTCCCCCAGCCAGAGCATGGGCTGTAACTCCAGCCTAAACAAAAAGCAGTGGACTATTAAAAATGAAATTCCCTAGTGAATGTAGCAATGTCAGATAAGGACACTCTCTCTCCACCCTTCCCCTTTGAAAAGTGTTACAGAAGAATAAAACAACAGGAAAAAAAATAAAATTTCATGTACTCATAGCTCACTGTGCATTCAGTAAAAATGCCTCTTCCTGCTATCCCCCAGCATTCAGCACTGCTGACCTACAGCATGTACAAAAAATGTTTAATTTGCTGCTTGATTTGCCATTTTTCATCTGTTTCTTCTCAAACCTCATCCCGTTCACCCACACACACTTTCCCCACTCCTGCTGATTTTTTAAACAGCGTCTCCTCGTGTCTACCTTGTTGTTCTGGCTCACTGCTCTCCTATTTGTATCTTCACTCCAGCCACAGATTTTACAGATGGGAAACTCCTGGCAGAAATACATCCTGAGGATCCAGATGAAATGCTGCTGCTGCCCTCTGCTTTGGGACTTGTCTCAGAGCACAACCAAGAGCAAACACGAGTTCTGCTGCTTGTTGGACATCTTGCCTCGAGATAAACACCAAAATGCACATGAATGCCTAAGTAATACTTCTGAAATGATCCCTGGGGATTTTCCATCCTCAGTGCACTGATATCCCAGAATTTCTCTGAGAGAAATTGCTGGCAGCAGCTCTGCCCTGTAATGTTTTCAGTTTCCTGTTAAGCAGGATGGAGCATCCAAAAGCTGGTAGAAAAGATGATGGCAAAAGAATCAATGCAGAAAATTGAAGGCCAGGCCCTAACAAGTGCTGCAGTTTGAACACAAAATAGATGAACTTGATTCCC